GCGGGCGATTTGCGGGCGGCCAGGGACTTCTTTGTCCACACGGAATGGACCCTAACCAGGAAGGAACGAGAGAGAGAGAGAGAGAGAGAGAGAGAGAGAGAGACGTTACATACACCCCCAACCAAATGGCACCATTCCCCCTGAAATCTCTTTGTGCAGCCCTTGGCGTCCGGTCTCCAAGGCTGGAATAAGGCCAAAAACAGGAAGGAACACGGATTCGGAAATGATGCCCCTATTAGTGTGCAGATGGCGGCTGAAAACTGGTTGAAAGCTGGCGGGGATAATCGTTAGAACTTTCGACAGCTGCCCTAAACCTATGCCTAAGCCTAACCTAAGCCCAAGCCAATGCCTGAGCCTAAGCCTAAGCCCAAGCCTAAGTCTAAGCCCAAGTCTAAGCTTAAGTATTTTGGTTGCTTTTTCGGGAACATTTCCGATCCCTTTAAAAATTCCACATGACGTCCAATTCCGGGCGTGTTCTTATCAGCCGACCCGGGCGGCGTCTTATGACTCAAAAAATCGAACGCATTCTCGATAAGGGGACGTGGCTCTAAAGTCTTGAATGTTTACCCCAACTCCCCAGTATTTCGTGGCTCCGTTCATGGCTTAAAATGTATTGATTTCGTATTTAAAGCCTCATATCAACGATTTACTAAAAACCTATCTCAATTTTGCAGAACGAATGGCCGCAACTCCGCCAAAAACGATGGATACCGGGCCGGCAGCCCTTGACATGCCATATGTAAGTACTGGATTTTTGACAGTTTTCTAGAGCGACCTTTTTCCCCAATAATCTTTAAGAATGCCTAAATTTAGACAAAGCTGTGGGCCGATGATGAGCAGCGCTACACCGGAGAATGGGCCGCGCAGATGATGGATCGGGTAGGCTCTTCCCGCTCAGCCCAGGCCGAAGCCTAAACCTAAGCCTAACTTAAGCTTAACTTAAGCCTACGCCTAAGCCTAAGCTTAAGCCTAAGCATAGCCTAACCTAAACCCAGCCTAGGCCCATTCCCAAATACTTTGCTTTAAAAATAGCTTTCCAGATCCACCTCTGTGTCGCGACAGGACTCCTACTCGCTGGAACTGTCGTTGCCTGGGCCACCGTCTGCAAGGAGTACGTAGAGGGTGTCTAGCAGAGATCCTTGCGGAGGGACATTGATATTCAAATATGATCTCCAGGATCGATGTCGACTTCATGATCGCCGTGGTGGCCGTGCTGGGGGGTATTTTCCTCTACTTCTTCTCGTTCCACGTCTTCTTCGCCTACTGGTTCACCAAGAAGAGCAGCCCCATCGTCGTGCTGAAATATCTTCTGGTATTTAGCGCTCATTCTGAAGCCCAAATTTTTTTAGATCGTACTCGCTGGACTCTCAGTGCTCCCCTGCATTATTATTCTCGCCACCGGGATGCGCTCCGTCGCCCATTTTATTGGTAATTTTTTATAACGTCTTTTGGCGTTTCAAAGACCTGTGCTAGCCTGCCCTCACCTCTTCCTCCATAATCTCTGCTAGCCTGCCACCTAAATTGTTTTTCTCGAATTACAGTAACCAGATTCAAATTCCAGTCTTCCTCTTGCTCATCCCGCTCCAAGCCTACGCAGCTCTGATCTGGCATAAGGTGGCTGAACACATGATTGCTGGCAAGGACTACAAGCAGGTGCGTTTTAACGGGGATTTAACTAACTTTAGTTTTCTGATCTTTTACTTTCTATCTGTTTTTTGAACTTTTCTAGCCCTTGGGAGCCTCCTTAAAACTCCGATTTTCAGGTCGGCCTACTGTGCGGCCTGCGATTCCGCATTCACTTTGAGGTGAAGGAGTGATGATTGTCGCGATGAATCAAGGCTACGCTTAAGCTTCAGCTTAAGCTTAAGCCTAGGCCGAAGCCTGGTCTCTACCCTCTTCAATTGCTTATTTTTCCATGCTTCATCAAACCGCAATAAACCTTTATACATCGAATTTTTCTGGCTTTTCGTTTTCAGCAGCCAGGCATCTAGCTTCATCGGTGAGGTATTGATATCCCTAGATTCAAAAATATGCGGAAGGTTCCGTTGCAGTACCCTGTACAGCCAGCCACCCAAGACGGCTCCGATAAGGGGGCCAATAACGGGGACGAGAATCCAGTAGAGGTGGCTGAGGTCTCTGGAAAAGATCCGAGATGCAAGCAGGCTAGCAGAGTTTGTTGAGGAAGAAGAGAGGGCCGGCTAGCAGATATCCTTTATGAAAATTTGACTCACTGAAAAAGCTCTTCCCCATATCCAGCTGTCCAGCACAACAATCGTGGCCCCAAATCGCGAGCCGGATTAATCGCATAGCCGGTGTTCATCCCTAAAAGTGGTTTTAAAGGGATTGTGAAGGCAATATTTAGTATTTCGTCTTTACCTAGCGTAATTCCGATCAGCGTTAAGAGTAGCCCGATGAAGGCCGGCTTGAAAAAGTCTGGAAGCCCATTTCGAGGATCGCAGATCGAACCGATGAAAAAGACGAGGATTATGGTGCCCAAGATCTAAATGATGGCTTGTGAAGAGAGAGAGAGAGAGAGAGAGCGAGAGAGAGAGAAAGAGAGAGGGAGAGAGAGAGTGAGCGAGATGACGTTATCACAAACCTGATCAAACATCCCGCCAGCAATCGAGACATACGCCTGTGGGAATGTCGTAAAAATCCCGGCAGTAGCTGCACTTCCGGAAATCTGACGAACACCCTGATCGAGGTGGTTGATCGCTTCTAAATAACGGGTAACCATTAGCAATTTTTTTGTGCTGGCTTGCCTCTATACTCTATAAAGGTAAGCCCTGCTCCGACATAGGCCCCGAGCAGCTGGGCCAGCGAGTAAAGCCCAAAACGCTTGAAGCCGATCTGCTTGGTCGTCAGGGCGAAGAGGGAGACGGCTGTGTTGAGGTGAGATCCTAAAAATCGGGGGATTATCGCGAGAGAGAGAGAGATAGAGAGGAAGAGCGAGAGAGCGAGAGAGATCGTGGGAAATTTGAACAAACCAGAAATCTTCCAGCCCAACTGCACGCTCAGGGTCAACCCGAGGGCCCAGCCGCAACACAACGCCAACCAGTCGCCTGAAAATTGTTGCAATAATTACTGTAGCTGGCCCGAAATACCGTAATCCTTTCCGTTGGCCCTTCCCAGCGTCAGCATCGCGTTTGTGGAAGTGCCGAAGAACTGGAATTGTTTTTGGTTTCATGCAAATTTGTTTGGGCTTGGGCTTGGGCTTAGCTTAGGTTTTGGCTTAGGCTTAGGCTTGCTCTTACGTTGCGCAAAGGCTTAGGCTTAGGCTAGCTTAAGCATAGACCTAGAAGTAGGCCAAAAAACTCACAATCAACGTCGTCGTACATACAAATTCCGCGATGACGCATTGCCACAAGTTTGAGAGCCGCATTTCCCGGGGGTACCACCCGGAATTTTTTTTTTTGGCACCCTAAAAAGTGTAATATTTATGCGCGGCAGAGTATCACCCCCCCCCCGCCCCGGATAAACAATCGAAAATCGGAGGGCGCCCCCCAACTCTGGGGGTGGATTACGAGTGTTTTTCGAGGGTACATCGAGTGACAATCACAAAACAACGCTAAATACACTATGGGGGAATTTACGACGTTTTAAAGGGATTGTGACAGGGGGTTGGGCCGCGTGAACGAGCATTTTCTTGAGTGATCTCTTGAGGGGCGTTTTTGGGCAGTTTTGAATAAGGTGGAGAGTAAGGGGGTTTTTAAACTAGACAAGCTAGCAGAGATTCTTGGAGAAGTGACAAGCTTGAGTAGGTAAGCTAGCAAAGATTCTTAGAGGAGACGAGGCGCTCGAGCAGGCAAGTTAGCGGAGACCAGAATATCAACTTTTTCCTAGGCAGGGTAGCAGCAATTGTTGAGGAGGAGCAAGGGTTTAGGCGAAACCATCTAGCAAAGATTTTTGTGGAAAAAATCTTTTTTCTGGAAAGGCTAGAAGATCTCCTTTAGAAGCAAGAGTTTGGGCTAGGCCATCTAGCTAAGATTTTTAAGGAAAAAAGCTTTTTCTGTGCAAACCAGCAGAGATTCTTCAGGAGCAAGAGCTTGGTCTAGGCCACCCAGCAAAACTTTTTGAGGAAAATGTCATGCCTTGTTGTTCTCAGTTCCTGTAAAACAGCGCCGGGAAACCTGTAAATTAGCGGTCGCGTGCGTGCAGGGACGTAGCGTAATACCGGCCCCGGGGGCCCGGGGCCCCCCCCGAAATCGGCCGGGGCCCGAAAATTTCATAAGGGGGGACCCTTATGATTTTCATTTTCTCAAAAATTTTTCTGCCTGCGGCGCTATTTTTTTACGTTTTTACGGCTATTTGTAGTGCTATGTAACCTTTTTTTCAAAAATTTTTGCCTGCGGCGCTGTTTTCTCGTTAATGTTTTGAGTTTTTTGGAAAAATTTTTTGGGGGCCCCCCCCGAAATTTTTTTCTGGCTACGCCCCCTGCGTGCGTGTGTCAGCCTGAAAAGGCCTTGATAAGGCAAAGAATTTGGAGAGATTTACGAGCCCGGGAAGCGGCTGATTCTGTTGAGTGAAAAGTCAAAAAGTTTCAGTTGTTCCCTGTGATGCCTGTAATCATTGGTCCAGGGGGCGGGGTGGGATTATGCAAATTTTTCACCGAAAATGCACTGCAGGTCTGGGGAGCTGGGCATACGTTTTGGGGTCGATTCAGCCGCCTAGCCATACAATTATATTCACAGAAAATTTGAACAGTATGGCTATGCTTAGGCTTAGCATAGGCTTGGGCTTAGGCTTCGGGTCGACCTCTAAGCCTGAGCCTAAGCCTAAACCCAAGCCAAGCCTAAGCCTAAGCCATTTGGCAGGTCGTTTCTTAGCTCAAAAAGACTTATTTTCCCATCGTCAGCCATCGTTTTTCCGAAATTTCTGAGAAGCAAGTCAGAAGACATAGAAATTACATCCACGACAAAAATTCTGCTTTGCCAAAAGCTGTCCAAAGCCAGTTCTTGCACCCACCACCCGCTCCCGGGCTCGATCTCCTATCGATCGAGATGCAATTGGCTTTGATCTCAATTTTCCTCTGTTTTCTTACTATTTCCATCCAACTGGCTGTCCCGCCCTGCTTGCCTGAGAGGTATAACTATCGTAGCTACTACCCGTGCCTCGATCAGGATTCGGCCGAGCGAGCAGGTACAAAAAATTAATCGAAATGTCGAAATTTGGATAAGCTAATTTTTCCGGAAAACTTGTCGACATTCTGAATTTCGACATTATGAATTATGAAACTTTCTGGTTTTCGACGTTACGATAGTAAAGCCGGACCTTTTCAGCCGAAGTCGATGACTTTACAACGTCGCTAAGCGGTGCGCCATCCCGGTTCGCCCGCACCGGATATTATGATCGATTGTTCAAGGCTGGGAATACCTGGAGCGGCGACTTATACAGCATTCCTACTTATGGGTAAGTAATTTCAGAAAGCTTAGTAAGTTTAAGCCGAAGCCTAAGCATAAGCCCTAAGCCTAGGCCTAAGCCTAAGTCGAAGCATAAACCTATGCCTAAGGCTAAGTCTAACCCTACGCCTAAGCATAAAACTAAGCCTAAGTCTAAGTCTAAGCCTACGTCTAAGCATAAAACTAAGCTAAAGCCTAAGCCTAATCCTAAGCCTAACAAGGGAAGGGCAAGTACACGAATTAGAAATTCGAAAAACGCTCGCGGCTACCCCCAGGTTATCGACTACGGGGAACACGATGGTGTTTTCAGAATTTTCCACCGAGCCCTGTGGAGCGAGAAACGGTACTTCCGGAAAAGGGGTCATTTGCATACGCGAAATTAACATGCTGCTTGCGGTTTATTGGAGGCTTTTACATCTCTACCATTAGCTGCGAGTTAGTCAATTGCTAACTGAACAGTTTTTTGAAATACCTACCAGGGTTCGAATCCACTCAGAACTTTTAATTTTTGCTCTTTGCTTTTTGGAGGGCGACCCACGTCAGTTTCGGCCGTCATAGATTGAAATTTTTGGGTTCGTCTTCGGATTTGGAAGAGAGTTTGCTTCAAGAACAATGAAATCACAGTCAAAAATGCTTCTAAAATAACATTCAAAAAACAAAAAAATTAAAAGTTCTGAGTGGATCCGAACCCTGGTAGGTGTTTCAAAAACTGTTCAGTTAGCAATTGACTAACTCGCAGCTGATGGCAGAGACGTAGAAGCTTCTAATTAACCGCAAGTAGCATGTTAATTTGGCGTATGCAAATGTTCCCTTTTCCGGAAGTACCGTTTCTCGCGCCAGAGGGCTCGGTGGAAAATTCTGACAACACCATCGTGTTCCCCGGAGTCGATAACCTGGGGGTAGCCGCGAGCGTTTTTCGAATTTCCAGTTCGTGTACTTGCCCTTCCCTTGTAAGCTCAACTTTTCATTCAAAGTAACCCCGATTCAGCTTCAACCCCAACTACAAGAAGGACGGACCGTACCGCGTGTGAATGGGATTGCTTCGTAATTTTATTCTCGTGTAGTAGGATAAAAATTTGCAATAGCGTACCCAGAAAAAGTGTATTTATTTGTATTTATTCAAATACAACAAAAAAATCTAAAAAACGCAATAAACATCCAAAAACAGGGTTGAACGTTGAGACCGTAAGCGACAGAGGGGCGACCCGTAGTGGTTTGTTTAAAGGGAGAGACAGGAAAGCTATACGGCGGAAATGTGTTTTGACGTAATTTTATCACAGGCGAGTGTTAAAGCTCAGCAAAAAAAACTTTGAAATATATACAAGAAGTTGTTCGAAAATGTCGAAAAACTTTTTTTTCAAAAGAACAAGTCTTTAAAATCTTTGAAAACCCTCAGAAAAAATTCTGAAAAATAATTTCGGCAATAAACGGTGTCGGGAACCAGATTTTAGGTAAGGAACCGATTTCTTTCGCAACCAATTAGCAGATGTAATGGCCGTGTTTGGTGTACTGGATTGTAGAGGTGAGCACGAAGGCTAAAAAATGTTTTTTTTAGGGAAAACTATTTAAATTCAGCTAGGTTATACCTATCCTTAATGTGCGTTTTCGGACGCCAAACTTACCGGTGAAGGGAAAAGCTGCGGTGATGATGAAGGCCCAGTTGTAGCCGATCAGCGGTAGCCAATATTCTGAGGCTATGGAGAGGATCGTCCCGGAACAGCTCTAAAAAGGGAAGATTACCGTAGCTAGAGCTGACTTCAAAGGTCTCTGCTGGCTTGCCCGAGCCAAGTTGCTTCCCTACCCCAAAATCCCAGCTAGCTTGCCTATCTATCTTTCCACAAAAATCTCTGCCAGCCTGCCTAACAATAAGATTAAACTCCGCCCTTCCTCAAGAATTTCTGCTAGCTTGCCTAACAATAAGATTAAACTCCGCCCTTCCTCAAGAATTTTTGCTAGCCTGCCTAAGCTTAAGATCCCCCCTCCTCAAAAATCTCTGCTAGATTGCCCCTTATAACTTACCGTGGAGAAGATGAGCAGGCCATAGTTTGGGCCCTTATATTTGGGCCCGAAGCACTTCACGGCCGCCGTGATGAAAAGGGCGTGTGTTGCAGCCATGCAAATGAATAGCAGGATCAGCTGAAAAAAACGGGGGTTTTCCTTCAAAGCCGTTTTCTAGCGTTTTTGTATCTTTCAAAAGTGAACTTACCCAAATAAGATAAGCCGTCTGCCCCAAGTGCTGCGTCAGCGGCATCGACAACAAAAGCCCGGATGCGGAGCAGCACGCGATGGCAATTGTTAGCTGGAAAGAATTGAGCGTGGAAAGGATAAGCCCAAGCCTATCCCAAGCCTAAGACTATCTTAAGCCTAAGCCTAAACCTAAGCCTAACCTAAAGTCAACCTTACCTGAAAACTTGTCTTATCCGACAGATATCCCCATCCAATCCTCGCAATCGCATTTGCCACGCTCCCGATCGAGAAGCAGAGCGCCAGAAAGAAATCGTCGCTGATGAACGTCTCGGCGTAGGTCTTGTACAAATTGTAGAACATGTTCGCATAGAAGCTGCAGCAGAACAGGGCGGCGAAGAGGAAGTAGAACGTTGAGCTCCTCATCATTTCCCCTGGGGTGAGAGATGGGGATTGGGGGTGCTGAAAAAAATTGTTATAGGGGTCAGGGGAGAGTGACAGCCGGATTGAGTAACGGATAAGCAAAGCCCAAACCTAAGGCCTAAGCCTATGCCCAGCCCTAAGCCTAATCCCAAGCCTAAGGAAGCGAACCAACCTTCAAGTCGTCGTCCTCATCACTGGAGAGCACCGGCTCGTCTGAGGAGGCGCTTTGATTCCGTCGGCGCGTGCTTTCCTAAACGTTACCATTACATTACAGCGTCAAAAAGCCACGCCCACCAACCACGTCACAAAATCAATTACCATAAAGGTTATTAAGCCCCGAAATTGAAAGTTTTTGGCATATGGTCAAATGGTACGATGACCGTTTTCTTAAGAAAAAGATAGCATTCCCACGAAAGCACGACACAACATCCCCTACTAATACCAGAATCAGGGGCTCGACATCTTCGGTGGTGGACACGGCCGAATAGGCCACGCCGGGGTAGCGGGGGGACTTGCCCCGCCAACGCCCGTACTCGCCAAGGCCAGAGCTTGTCAACTGGAGCGGAGGGTTGGGTCAGGTTTTTGGGCTAGCTAGCAGAGATTGTTGAGGAAGAGGAGAGGGCAGGCTAGCAGTGATTGTTGAGGAAGAGGAGAGGGCAGGCTAGCAGTGATTGTTGAGGAAGAGGAGAGGGCAGGCTAGCAGTGATTGTTGAGGAAGAGGAGAGGGCAGGCTAGCAGTGATTGTTGAGGAAGAGGAGAGGGCAGGCTAGCAGTGATTGTTGAGGAAGAGGAGAGGGCAGGCTAGCAGTGATTGTTGAGGAAGAGGAGAGGGCAGGCTAGCAGAGATTGTTGAGGAAGAGGAGAGGGCAGGCTAGCAGAGATTGTTGAGGAAGAGGAGAGGGCAGGCTAGCAGGGATTGTTGAGGAAGAGGAGAGGGCAGGCTAGCAGAGATTGTTGAGGAAGAGGAGAGGGCAGGCTAGCAGAGATTGTTGAAGAAATTGTAGCAGTTTCAATTTCGATAATATTTGTAAAAAGCTGCTTCATAGAACATACCGTCTCCGGCGGATCGCAGATGACAATCACCCCGATGCACTGCATAATCAGATATACGGTGGAGAGGGTGAGGAACACTTGCGGCACACGCTCGAGCAGTTCAGGCTGCACGAAGTAGCTGCAACGCAAAGGTAATTTAATGTATTGAGGGTTAGGCTTAGGCTTAGGTTTAGGCTAAGGCATAAGCTTAGGATTCGGCTTAGGCGTAGGCTTTAGCCATTTGAACGTACCCTTCCTTGGTGGCCGGGTGGTTCCACGGGTTTACAAGGGCTGTCTGAATCGGGGCGAAAATCGACGACGACAAGCCGAAGCCGGCAGCTACGATTCCGGAGACAAGGCCAACTCGGTCAGGGGCCCACTGTAAGGCTTTGGTTTTTGAGTTTAAAACGGTTACAGGGATTCAGAAAAATCGCCCCAAAGGAAAAAAAGGAACGCTGGTTTTTAAGGCCATCGTAGGCCTTTGTTATAGCTATTTTTACAGTATTCAAAAATGTTTGACAATTCTCGCACATTAATGACGCAGGTGACGGCCACAACGTAGCTGATCCCCTCGCCGATGCCGAACAGCAGCCCGTAGGTGAATGTGAAAGCGGGAAGGGAGTGCTTGATGGAAAGTGAGGAGAGGTAGACGCCCAGCCTGGAACGAAGTTAGCGTAATTTGGCTTAACGATTCGCAAACCGATATCTTAACTTGCGATAGAAATAAGATCAAATCGACTTCAAAATCCTATAAAAACTTACGTGCAAATCGAGCACCCGATAACCGCTGCCGTCCTCGACCCGAGCTTTAGCGACAACGCACCGCCAATCACCATCGCGAACGGAAATGCGCCTGAAAGAAGAGATTACGGTAGGCTACAAACTACTTACCCTGCAGCATCGGAATCCACATCATATGCTCTATGCGCACGTTGTGGTCCGTGTAATTCCGGAGGTAGGAGGCCATATAGGGGAGCATGTTGCCTGAAAGGCATGGTGAGCTGGGTTCGCAAGCGATCTCTGCTAGCTTGCCTTTGAACTGGTAAAGATCACTTTAGCCTGCCCTATCCTCTTCCTCAACAATCTCTGCTAGCCTGCCCTCTCCTCTTCCTCAACAATCTCTGCTAGCCTGCCCTCTCCTCTTCCTCAACAATCTCTGCTAGCCTGCCCTCTCCTCTCCCTCAACAATCTCTGCTAACCTGCCCTATCCTCTTCCTCAACAATCTCTGCTAGCCTGCCCTCTCCTCTCCCTCAACAATCTCTGCTAACCTGCCCTATCCTCTTCCTCAACAATCTCTGCTAGCCTGCCCTCTCCTCTTCCTTAACAATCTCTGCTAGCCTGCCCTCTCCTCTTCCTCAACAATCTCTGCTAGCCTGCCCTCTCCTCTTCCTCAACAATCTCTGCTAGCCTGCCCTCTCCTCTTCCTCAACAATCTCTGCTAGCTTGGTTCTCATTCCAAAAATTCTGGGTTTGAGAGCTAGCATCAAGTGAAAGAGAGAGAGTGAGAGAGAGAGAGAGAGAGAGAACGAGAGAGAGACGAAGAAGCTCACTAAAAAACTAACCAAAAGTATGATATGTTCCCAGCGTGAGATGTACGAGCACGGCCCCACTCAGCACGATCGTCACGCGCAAGAACGGCGACAACCGAAACAGCAGCCTGGCCACCAAGTCATTCGAGCTGCTCATCTAAATGATAGGTATTACGTCCTATACAGTAGCCAATCGGAATCAGGTGAGAAATCCAGGAAAGCTGATGGTTAGGAAATGTGTGCGTTGTTAGAATCAGTATTTTAGAGGTTGATTTAGTTCATAAGATCTGCGCTGATAAGTTCAAAAGCATAGCCCGAGGCTACGGAAGCCACCTGTCGACAGCAGAGTCGCGACCTCCATTTCCGCTAGATATGATATTTTGTGTTAATGGGAGGTATCTGTCGCATGTTTTTCCGTAGCGTACGCACGTTCTCGTATTCAAAAAAAAAAAACCTGGTATCGTACGTATTAAAAAAATGCTTTACATAGCGTCATCGGCTTGGAAATTACTGGGGATTTTTTGCTAGCCGTAGAGGTCCCAAAATCTCTTAAAGATAGGATTTTCTCACGTATTTTCCTGATAATTTAAAAATCGTTTGCAAATCTCTAATAATGCTTGTTTTAAGCCAACATTAACCGATTTGAAAAAAAAATTGATCATCAAATTTCTCTATTCGGAAAAAGTCAGAGCTACCGATTTTCCAAGACAGTTCTATTTGACAACAATCCTACAGTAACCAGCTTTTAATCCAACCGTTGAAAAGGTATGCGATTTTTAAGGCATCACACCAACCTGACCACCAATCCGGGCGCAAAAATTCGCCCAATACAACCGGAATCTGCTGGCCGAAGTCATGGCTTCAGGGGCACGTTTTTGGGAAATAGCTTCTGGGCTTTAGAAGACTGCCCAATTGATGGTATCAATTTGTGAGATGGTGGCAGTGATGTGTAAATATTTTTAAAGATGGGGGGGAGGCTGCGGGTGCTTATTTGGAGTGCAATCAAAGGGCGGTACCACCTCCCAGTCGCCAAAAAAGATGCCCGTACACTTTTCGAATTGGGAAATCCGACTGTCTGTCTGGGCGTCTCTCTCTCTCTCTCTCTCTCTCTCTCTCTCGCTATCTCTCAACTTTAACAATGCCACTTCAAGCCAACAGACACTTGCTTGAGCCAAAAAATGCGGAAAAAATTTCCCGAGCTGTTACTTTGATTCCCTAGAATGTAGCATGTTCATTGGCTTTAGCTTAGGTTTAGGTAGGCTTGGGCTTCGGCTTAGGCTTAGCCGAAGTATCAATCATTGGTTCAGTGAAAATCCTCATATGAAAAGACAGGTTACGGTAGTCCTGATACTTTACGAAACTCTGAACAGGTGAAAGGGATGAATGGGTGAATGAGGTCTATGAAATATCGAAAGCCACTCACGATCCGAATAAATTTCCGAGACACTAGATGAACAAACAGTTTTCGTGAGAACCTGCAGTCCACCCGGCGGTGTGGCAAAGTGGTCCCGGCAAGAAAATTGAGGGGAGAAGATGCACCCACCGGTTGCATGTAACAATGACAAATGTGGGTCAGAGGTATTTTTAGCTAGACCGTGGCATAGCAGAGATTACTTGGGGAAAATGAGTGTGACTCGAGAGGTAGGGCAGGCTAGCAGAGGTTGTTGAGGAAGAGGAGAGGGCAGGCTAGCAGAGATTGTTGAGGAAGAGGAGAGGGCAGGCTAGCAGAGATTGTTGAGGAAGAGGAGAGGGCAGGCTAGCAGAGCTTGTTGAGGAAGAGGAGAGGGCATGCTAGCAGAGATTGTTTAGGAGCAGGTTTATTTCAGCTCGGCGGCCATCGTTCACATATTTTTCTGAATTATTGCTTTCTCCTGTCTAGCTAGGCCATTCCTCAAGGCTCTTTGCTAGCTCGCCTCCACAAGCTTCGTTTTCTCACGAGGTATCAACAAGTAAACCATTCACTATATGCCCCCAACCAGCAACAACGCGAAATTTGGGTCACCCCCGGCCCGACTGCAGAAGCCATTATTATGCACGGGGCCTGATATTGGGAGGAGAAGCGCTTTGTCGCCCCCTCGCTTTCTTCGCACCCAGAACAAAAAACGGACACGCTAAAAAATGGGTGCAGCTGATAGAGGGGGAACGGAACCAGGCAAAGAAAACTACGTGCTTTGAGGCCTAGAAAAAAATAAGAAAAAATAACCTCTGCTAGCCTGCCCTCTCCTCTTCCTCAACAATCTCTGCTAGCCTGCCCTATCCTCTTCCTCAACAATCTCTGCTAGCCTGCCCTCTCCTCTTCCTCAACAATCTCTGCTAGCCTACCCTCTCCTCTTCCTCAACAATCTCTGCTAGCCTGCCATCACCTCTTGATCAAAAATGGTTGCTAGCATAAACGAAAAGTATACAAAATACTATCAAATAACTCCAGTATCCCCTGAAGCACACGAATTGCAGCCGAGGTTTATCGTGTGAAAGCGCCAGTGCAAAGTGTATCGGCGGGATCGGTGAATCGGAATAGATTCGGGCCTAGGAATGCCAAAACTACGAAAAGCACCGAGAATCCGATTGAACTTTCAACTTGACGGCCCCAATGACAACCCCCTGATACGGGGAAGGCGACGACAAGCTGATAAAGCATGCTAAAATGCACGAAATAGGCACGTAATGAGGGAGGAGGGGGTGCTGCTGTACAAGTTTTGTATCATTTGATGGGTCGGTCTGGACCGGATCTTTCCAATGTCCTAAGGAATGTTGCAGACAGGTTTAGCTAACAGCGCTAGGGCTCAACGTAAAAAATGTGTTTTACTTTAATCTGTTATTGTCCATGCGTCAAAAAATTTTTTAAAGTTTTCAGCGCCGATCTCCGGGATTACACCGCTAAAAAAAAGAAAGCTTAAATAAGCACGAACGATCTAAAAACTTGTAACGACTGGCCACTTGCCGTGGAGTAGGAGCGCCCGAATAGGGGCCCACGTCGGACCTTACTCTGCGTGTCTGCGCCCGCCGAGGCCCCCCTGCAAGGGCCCTAACATTGGGCCCCCAGGGGTCATACAACCCGGAAATTATCTGGAGGACGCTGAAACTATTTGGAGAACTGCGGTACTGCAAAAAATGCATTCTGGAACGCACACGTTGATAGAAAAATTGCCTTTTATCTTCAAACTTTGTGGACTACACTTTAAAGGCTTTAGAACGGGTCTTTTGGTTGTCCAAAGTCAACGTTAGCAACTGGAAGTGATGACAAACCCAGAAACATCCTTTTAGTTTGAAGAAAACCTTGAAAATGGCCTTAAAACAACTTCCAGGGCATAAAACGGCGTTTCTACTCAACGGGCCCTAAGCCTGAAGCTTATATGACCCCCAAAACAAAAATCAGCGCTTTGGGAACTACAAGACATTTCGAAAAATGGTTTCAATTGTGGAAAAAAAGGTAAAAATCCACTTTTGCCAAACTTCGAGGGCATAGAACGATGCCTCTACTCAACGGCACCTCATAATATTGTGTGAATTATTGCGAAACAACATATATTTATCACATCCTTTAAAATTTTAGCTCTTTTGACCGAACTTTATTATTATTGACATCATTTTTGCCTTTTTGTGACCCTCTGACATCCTTGCAGCCCCAGTTGCACGCACTTTCGTTGGATGCGCTACCGTACCCGCCTTGCCGCGGCGATTCCGGGCGCAACGAATGTTGCCCCCACCCCAAAATAACAGAACTCTACGATTTCAACTTCAAACCAAACCTCTCGCCCTTCATTCCGTTCCTAAAATTACTTATCTTACCTTTCAGAATGGCTACTACGTCTCAAGCTACTTCTTCGACCACCGAAACGACCACCATCCAACCCATTGGCCCGCCCGAAACCACGAATCTCGTGTTGAGGCTAGCCGACCGCGAGCCCGACACTGACGCAATACCCCATGTGCGTTGGACCGCCGACACGGTGAACAATGAGGGAATGGGCAAGAAGAAAAGCAAATGTTGTTGCATCTACAAAAAAGTGAAACGCTGGGACGAGAGCGACACGGAGAGCGAAAATGAAACTGAACACTGTCGTGGTCACGTTGAGAAGAAGCCGCCGGGCTCAGGCCACGGATGTGGGGATGATTCCTGCTCTTGCTAAGTTTCCCGGTTAATTACTGTCTGGTTTTATAGTCAACGCCAACTTAAAATTTGTGCGCGGTTGTAATTTTGCTATTTTTTCTCATCCGCTACATTCGTGTTGACTTTCAAGTTTCTAATGTCGTAAGTGTATCTGATCCCCCGGCCGGGTGCCCTTGGCGAAAAGCCGTCCCCTCACTGGTTGTACCGAATCCTCTCCATTCCGTTCTCTGCCATCTCTGGTTGCTGTATGAAAATTTGCGTACATGATAAATTTCCAGGGATGTCCGTCAAACGGGTTGCCGCCTCTTCGCTCAATTGGGCCAAGATTGGCGAGAAGGTTTGAGACATTTTTGAACCTAACGTCTGTCTTTAGCTCACGGCCTCCCACGCCGCCGATTTGACCCGGCTGAAGGGCCAGAATTCCACCTTCACGGCCCAGGTCGATCAGCTGCCCGCTGACCTGCCTAAGGTAAAAATTTTGCTGATCCTCTTATCTATTTTTAGATTGACTTCGCTGCGCTGAAGAAGACTCTGCCCGCGCATGCGGCCACCATCGATGCTCTTCAGAAGCAGTACGAGGCTATCAAGATCCCCTACGGCGAGGTTCCCAAGCAACACCTGGAGGTTCGTGTCGATTTTTTGTCTAGAAGGACTGATGTTTTATTGATTGCTGTGAATAGCCAATTTGGTTATTTTTTTTTCAGGAGATCAAGCAGTGGGAGGAGTTCAACAACGCCCGCATCAAGCTTCACCAGCTGAAGGTTGCTGATGGAATCGAGCAGGCCAAGAAGGTTTTTATAATATGTTGCACAGAATTATGTGCTTGATTCAGGTTGAGGCCAAGTGGGCAGCTGCTCCCCCGGTTGAGCACTTCGATCGTCAGCACTTTTCCGAGTATTTCCCGCAGCACTTCTACGATCTTCGTTATCAGGTTTGGATTTTTGTGTTATCTAGTATACTGTGTTTCTCGATGTTCTTGGTTTTATTCATATTTTCTTTATAGGAGCGCATCCCTGACCCGTGCGGCATTGGCCTCAACGAGACTGACGCCTTCGAGAAGCGCTTCTCCGACTACAAGGTTCGTTGAAATTCTATTTTTGCGTTTTTTTTTCTTGATAAGCCGTGTCTTATCCTTCCGTTAAGGTTCTCCGACGCCCCGACAAGGTCGACGACCACTAGAGCGGCTCCTTTTCTACGTATTTAGAAGGCCTTACCACCGTTCCACTAGTATATGTAGTTTTTCTTCAGCTGTTCACAAATGTATGGTTCCACTCCCTTTTCTATGTGTTGATTTGTGAAGCTAGTTACCTAATTTCGAATAAACTGTTTCCCTTTGCCGGTCACGCAATCGAAAAAATCACGTTCGTTCGCAATACTCAAACGAAATGGAGAGACTGGGGAACTTTTGGGGGGTGGGGGTGCGATTTGTAGTCTAGCGTGTTTATCGGTATCTGTGCTCATGGGGGCACTTGAAAAGGGCAAAAGTGTAATCATTTTTCGGGCTTTCTTGTTGTGTACACGAACATTTCGGCTTCCTTGGTATAAACACATACGCTATAATATTCAGCGGCCGGTCGATGGGGAAGCGCATAGAGGAGACCCTGCTGGCCAGTCTGAGTCATGGGCTATCGGGTGGGGATGACGACAAAAATGGCGTCCGGCGCCGCAGAAATTCCGGCCAATCGCAGGTGAGGTTATATTTGTTTTATCAAAATAATTTGTTGCAGATATCAGGAAACTCTAACTCGTCGAATAATGATTCTCCAAGCCGAAAGCCCAGCTTTGCAGCCCGCAAGCTTGAGCTGCAAAAGGCCGGGTATGCTCCTTATTTTTCCGCTTTACTGCATTTTAGTCCCCTCGCCAACCCGGTGCACCGGCCTCAGGATTCACTGTTTTCGTCTTCATCAGGGTGGACGAACTATAGAGGCTTCTTCAACCTAGCGATATTGCTCTTGGTATGGGTTCAGAGCGAAATGCAACGTCATAATTTAGGTGGTCTCCAATGGTCGAGTGGCGTTGGAGAATGTGATCAAATATGGTATCCTGATCTCCCCGCTCGATTGGGTAATCTATCACGTAGGGCTTTTTCAAACGAAATTTACAGATCGAGTTCCTGCTGACTGATCTCTCCTACACAAACTGGCCCAATCTTTTCATGATCCTCTTCTCCAACATAACGATTGTGATCGTATTGGTGATGGAGAAGCTCTTAGGTGAGTAACATATTTTAAAAATTAGCTACTCATTTAGCGCGCGGAGCTTTCAGCAACCATTTTGCTGCCGCATTTTACACGCTACTTATCGGCGCCCATGTGACGGTTCCAGCTACAATCACTTTGTATCTGAAGGTCTGGCTTTTTTTGAGGATATATTTGTTGTTTAGGGCAATCCTCTGTACGCTACCGGTTGCCTAGGCCTCATCGTCATCGAGTCTTTGAAGCTGGTCTCCTACGTGAGTGATATCAAAAATGCTTGCATTTTTTTAGGTACATGTCAACTATTGGTGCCGCTCGGCGCGCCAGCAGCAGAAAGAAGACAGCGAGCATATGCCGCCCGATGTTCTCCGTCTCTACCCCGGAAACTTGACGCTCAAAAATCTGTAAGTTTTTTTGCTACTGAAGTCTGAATATTTTTAGGTACTACTTCATGGCCGCGCCGACTCTGTGCTACGAGCTGAAATTCCCGACGAGCCCCCGTTTGCGGAAATCCTTCCTCCTGAAAAGAACTTGTGAAGTGAGACTTGATAACTTTTCTTAGATCCCCCTTTTAGTTAACTTTCCTCTCATTCTTGATCGTTGCCCTCGTCCAGCAATGGGTCGTTCCGACCGTCCACAACTCGTTGGGCCCATTCAGCCAAATGGATATTGGTGAGATTGACCTCGAATTCTTAGCTGAATTCTTAGGCAAATGCGTTGAACGTGTGCTAAAATTGGCGATCCCGAACATCTTGATCTGGCTGATCGGCTTCTACACAATGTTCCACTCGGCGCTCAACCTGCTTGCCGAACTTCTCTGCTTTTCGGATCGTGAATTTTATCGGTAAGATTTCAGCATTTTTTAAAATATTTTGTAGGGATTTCTGGAACTCTGAGACCATCCAGTACTTCTGGAAGACGTGGAACATTCCTGTACATCGCTGGGCGCTGCGCCACATTTACTTGCCGATGGTGCGTAACAACTACAGGTAGTGAATGAAAGTATTTTTGAGGTTGGGTTTTAGTAAATTTCTCGCCTCTCTGGCTGTGTTCTTCGTCAGCGCTGCGTTCCATGAATATTTGGTAGGCTTTTCTTGAAGTTATGGTTCATTTTTTGAGGTTAAAGGTTGTCGATAATTTTAATAATGCATCTAACATTTCTATACTTTAAAATGACGTAAAATCACTTCGGTATCAACTCATTTAGGTGTCGGTACCACTCTCCATGTTCCGGCTATGGGCCTATTACGGCATGATGGCTCAGGTGCCGTTGTCGTTCGTGACCGACTACGTTGTCAAGGGCGGTCGCGCTGGCAATGTGGTACGTTTTCCGCTGGCACCCACATTTTTGCGTCTGCTTCCAGATTGTATGGCTTTCTCTGATCCTCGGCCAACCGATGGCCATCCTGATGTACGTCCACGATTGGTACCTCATCAATTACCCCAAAGACCCGGCGCTCGAACGAGACACGTTAGCTGTGTGAATTTGAAATGCTAGCCTTTTATCGCCACTCTTTTATATACCATGTGATTATTTTGTCATTTTTTCACGTTATTACCTCTCCGCATTGTGCCTTGTAATCAATCTAGTGACCCTGCTAGCTGTGTGATATTTGTAAATAGATTTTTGCTGTGCTTACGGGATAAACCTTTCTTGATGATACTTGTAAAAGAAAGCATGTCGGTTGAGTCTGGGGTATCGCCTTACATTAAACATTATGTTCTCATTAAAAAAGGCATTTATCGGCTGCTTGACATAAATCTATTTTAGCCCATGGTGGTTCCTAACATCTTACCCCTACTAACAATATTTGATGGAGAGCGGTGGCTGATTTATTGGAGAAACGAGGATAATATTCTAGGTATTTCTATTATATTCTTTGTATTTGATGGGTTTAGGCGTGACCAATCTCTTCGATGCCGTATACGAAAAGGTGATCAGTCGGGAAGAAAAGGCCCTAAAATTGAATTGTGCCCGGACGCTGGCTGACAAAAGCTGGATGTAGGAGCTCTTTTTTGCTCTTTCAATCAATGTTTTTAGTGATTTCATGCATGCGGAAGGCTGGCTGATCTCACAGGTTGATCCCGAAGCCGCGACGATTGGTAAGTTTTTTATTCTCATTTTTAATTTGGAATTAGGCATCGGCTCAAAGCGCACGTTCGAGCTGCTCAGAAAGGCTGGCGAACGCTTTTGCGACAACATGACTGCAGAATTGCTAGTAAAAAGGCTATGCATTTATTTTGTATTTTTTATTTAGATTACTCGTGCCTCCTGGGTTCCTCGTCGGCCGGCACTTCCGAGTGATTCGCTGGAATCCGAATCCTCTCCATCACCAAGCAAGGTATGCGACCTCAAGTTCTCATGCCATTTTTCAGCCGCTTCGACGTGGGCAACGACAGCGCCACGGTGGGGCTGAGGACTGGTCTGACGACGGTGATGCGGCGGGTGAAGATGAGAAGCCTTCGGAAAAGCCCCTAATGGCAAGCAAGCATGTTTCAGTGAATTTTTGTTTTTAGACGAAATCAGCCGTCTACCAGCCGAGCTCTATTTTGGGCAAAAGAAAGCCGCCGGTGAGGAATTGTGCCATCTTCGTCTATCAAATTTTAGAAAGCAAAGCCCGGAGTATCTAGCGTGGAAGCGCCGCCGGAAAAGCCGCGTGCTGTCAAGAATTTCGGCAAAGTTGTAGTGAAAACTGCGAGCAAAGCGACGACGGTATATTTTTACAGCAAACTGGGATCCTGTGATTTAGAAGCGCACAAAAAAGACCCGTGCTGGTGCCGATGATTGGTCCGACGACGATGAATAGCCAGCAGCCCTCTCTTCTCATTTTTGCGCTTATTTACTCACGATTAGTTTTAACCCTATACATTGATTTTGCTGCCTTGATTTCCCCTGAACGTTATGCATCTCTTCTGCTCGACCTCAATCTCTGTGATCTGCAAAGTGTATCTGCGACCAATAAGAAATGTCTTAACCATTTATTGCTTCGAAATTCGTATCGATATACAACACAGATTATTAATGATAACCGTAAGAGGTTTTTGAAGGGACTGGCGGGGGTAATCGGGCTGCTGGGACTGGCTAGAAGAGCGCGGCGGTCTGCTGCTGGCAAGCATCCACCACCTAAAATTCGTTCCCTTCAATTTTATGAGCATGGGGGCCACTTTGTTGAGGGCCTTCAGCAGATCGTTGGCTTTCTGGTAGGTCTTCTCGCTGGGCGGCGGCTCGAGGATCATCAGAATGCCCTGTTGCTGGTTGACGACACCTGAAAAAGCGTGCGCGTTTCTTACTTGTAGCGCTGGCGTTCCACCTCGCAACTTCAGATCAAGAATCATCTTGTCGAGCTTCTTTTCGATTCTCTCGTATGGCAGTCCGATCTGGAGAAAAAAAGATCTACAAATTTTAAAATTCGCCTTTTTTCTCGAAATTTATGTTCCACCAAAAGAACCAGAGTTTAGCGTTTGAGCACACCCACCCGCTCGGCCACGTGCTTCACCTCGACGGACGAGTACGGCTCGACGACGCGGCAAATCTCCTGGAAAATGAAATTCCCAAAAATGAGCTCCGTCAGGCCACCTTCTCCAGCACGCTCTCATAGAGGAACGTCGAGTGGCCGTGGACAACAAGGTCTTGCTTCAGCTCGATCGGATACTTGGCGAAGCACTGGAATGGAAATTGGGAGTCGCATTGAGTGGTCTTCCACCTCCTGAAAAATGGCGAGCGAGCGCTTCCGGAAAGCCACGGACAGTTCCTTCATCGCCTGAAATTCGGGTGAGTAAAAGCTTCGTAAATCGGTTCACCTCAATATCCTTCTCTTTCAAGTAGGGCTGGCAGGCCTTCGACTCGAGGAAGGCCTTCATCGTCTCCGAGTCGTCCAGCATCACCTTTAAGCGTGGCACTGTCGCATTACCATGGGAGGCTATCTTTGAATACCCCAATTCAGGAGCTGTTTCTACCCATTTTGCTCTTCAAAAACGTAAAAACTTACCCAATTTTTGTAGAAAAAAAACAAAATGTCTAATTTTCGACGAAAACAGAACATTTACATTTTTTTAGAAGATTTAGAGAGTTTTTCCACTTAAAATATAGATACTTAACTAAAACCGTATTAAAACACCCTTTTTATCAAATTACTAGGCATTTCTGAACCTATTGGAAAAGCTTCGGTGCCCAACCTTGCACAGACACATGTACTTCAAGCCCTGTGTCGCACGACGGCGATCGTCAAGCTGGCTGAACCCCTCGAACGCCTCGAAGAAGTACGAGTAGGCCGTCTTGAAGTCGCGCTCGTCGGCCGCGTACAGCACCCCGGATTGCAGGTCGAGCTGGGCCTTTAGAGGTTCATTTACAGCAAAAGCAGGCACGAAACCGCACCTGCAAGGCCACAGACGTGTAGAAACCGTTGGAGACGGTGCGCGCCGTGGCCAGCGCCGTTTTCGCCTTCGAGAAGTTGTTCAGCGCGAACGCAGCCCGGCTCTCCTCGAGCGCAATCTAGAAAATAAAACGGTAAGAAAAGTTTACAAAAAATTTGGATTATAAGCTGCTCCAAAAAAGAGTGAAAGGTAAAAAAATCACAAAAATTTAGTTTTTAACCTGTTTAGGGCGGATTTTTTTGGTAATTTTCAGCATATGAATGAATGGTTTATTTGAACCGAAACGAAGGTAAAAAGTAGTAAAATAAAGTAGTAAAAAGAAACTAACGAATCAGAACCGACATTGAAAATAACAAAAGCCCACCTCAATCAACAGCTCGCGGTCCTCGACCTTGCGAATCTCGCGCATCAACTCGGCAGCTGAGAGAACGGTAGAATACTGCATTGCACGGCGCACTCACTAATCTTTAGCACCTCGCCGTACTTTCCGATGTCGTTGTAGAGGCGGACGAGGCGAGCGCGCAACGCGCGCGACAGGTACAGCCGCGCCGTCGACTTGGCCCAGCCGATGGCCTCGAGGCAGAGCGCCTCCTTCTCCACGTTCGACGAGCCCTTGACGCGCAGGCATGCGTCGACTAGGGTGCGCACAATCTGAAAAAAGCGGAAATTTCGAGAACGGAAACTGGAAGTATGGTTCAGTTGCCCCCCGACCTCAATCGGTTGTATTTTTGCTCCCCGTTGTGCAACCAGGACGTAAAGTATACCAAAATACTCGTCAGATCAAGACAAACATTTTTGTATACTTTACGTGCCTGTCCACACGCAATGAGAAGAGATATCCTACCGCACCTTGCTCGCCCGCGCATTCGGCAACGAGTCGAGGTGGTTCCGCGACGCGATGAACGCATCCTTCAGCTCTAAAACGTGGCAAAATCATGAAAAATGGCAATGCCACTTTGTAAAGCGATGGAAATAAACGAAAAGGTCGAATGGAAAATATCGCGATGTATAGATCTAAAATATCTTAAACTAAAACATAAACGAAAATGTCTAAAACGTGGCAAAATGGAAAATAAAAAGTCCAAAGTTTAAATTTATAAGCCAAACGACGGAAACAGTGCCCACCGGCGATGCGGCCCTCGTTGGCCATCCGGTTGGTGAGCTCGAGCAGCTGCTGGTCGTGTTTTCGGGCCAACTCCTCGTCCTAAAAAACTCGAAATTCGTGGCGCTGGATCATTTTAGGGGAAAATTGCGTTATATGGTCACTAAACGGATTTTGGATTTTTATATACCAAAATGCTCAGCAGTTCGAGCTGGTTCAGGATCAGTTGAAAAAACTATTGGGAAACACTTCTGGAGCGAGTTATAACACTTCAAAGTTGGCGAGTGTCGTATATGGTCACTAAACGGATTTTCGATTTTTATATGTCAAAACGCTCAGCAGGTCGAGCTGATTCTAGAACAGTTGAAAAAACCTTTGGGAAAAATCTCTGACGCGAGATAGCTAGCTTACAAACCGTCCATTCAGCCCCTGAAGTAGTACGTAGTACACCAAAATACGCCAACTGTACATCGTAAAGAAACGGAATGGTGGAGAATTGCCGTTTCAAGGGTAAAAAATACATTGTCAGGCAAGGTGGGCCGTCGCTTCGGATGGGCTGCCGCTCCCTCTTTCGAAATCGAGGCGCCTGGGCGCTTCGCGCTCCTCGGGCGCCCCGATTTCGGAAAACCCTGTACGAGCTCGCACCCATCCGAAGCGACTAGGCCCCGGGTGGCACGAAGCCTTATTTTTAGGCTCAGATCCGGGTATGTAGTTTCATGCCAAACTCATTTCGAACCCAACCATTTTTCGCACCACCGAAAACTGACTCGCCTGGGCGACAACGTTATGTATTGGGCCGGGGTAACGCGAAACTTTGTAGTGTTATATCTCGCTCCAGAAGTATTTCCCAAAGGTTTTTTCAACTGTTCTAGAATCAGCTCGGCCCGCTGAGCATTTTGACATCTAAAAATTCAAAATCCGTTTAGTGACCATATACGACACTCGCCAACTTTGAAGTGTTATAACTCGCTCCAGAAGTGTTTCCCAATAGTTTTTTCAACTGATCCTGAACCAGCTCGAACTGCTGAGCATTTTGGTATATAAAAATCCAAAATCCGTTTAGTGACCATATAACGCAATTTAACCCATTTTAGACCTCGTGGGTGTCGGCGCGGTTGCTGGCGATCCCGGTCATTGAGTGCACTAAAATTTAGAAAGAAATGCAGGCAAGACTGGGAGGTCCGAACTTTTGTATCTCAACTCCCCACTGCACCACAGGGGAGTAAAGTATACCAAAATACTCGCCAGTCCGAGACGAGCATTTTGCTATACTTTACCCACCTGTAGATGAACAGGGAGCCGAGATACAAAAGTTAGGGGCCGGCTGGGGGGGGGTATCTGGAGTCTTACCGTATACCAAAGTGTTCTAGGTGTTCTATTGTTATGACTAGATTAAATTTGTGTTGAAAAATCAGACAAGGTAGAAAAATTGAGCAGGAAAAGGTCAAATCTTGACTATCCAGAGCTCCCCTGCACCCAACTTTTGAAGCTCGACTCTCTCTTTCTTGTGCAATAGGTGTGTAAAGTATACCAAAATACTCGCCAGACCAAGACGAACATTTTAGTATACTTTACGCGCCTGTAGACACACAGGGAGCCGAGATACGCAAGTCGGACTGGCTCTGACGGGGGTATCTGGAGGCTTGTCCTGGGCTAGCGGGGTAAATCTTGCTCTAGGGCCTAAATAACAAAATTCCCGGAACGCTTTAAAGTCGTAATTAAGCCTATTTTAGCACTTTGAGGCTGGCGAAGGCACGTTTCCGGGAACTAACGCCCCCTACACGCTATTGTCATCATTTCCCGGGAGTGGCCGCTCGTCGCGACGAGGCGGCCCAAAATCTCAAAGCGCACCCTAATTTGCGTAGCCCTATGCTTCAAAACATCTTGACGCAGTAAAAAAAACGAAGGTACCCGAATAACCGTCTCGAAAAACTGACCGAGCTCGGCGATGTTGGTCGGGTCGACGGTCGGCTTGCCCATCGTGTGAGAGCTTGAGACGCGAAATGCTCAGTTTTCTCATCAGCGCGTGCAAAAAACCCGCAGCTATGCATGCACGTGTGGATGCAAACCGTGTTTTTGCATCACTGCGTATGCTAATAGCATCTTTTTGACCGTCACATTGACTTGCCGGTTTTGACGTAATTTCCGAAAACTTACCGCGACTCAAGGGGGTACTTTCGAAAAATCATATGATCGAAATTCATAATGCCGAAATTGATAATATCGGGATTTCATAATCTCGAAATTTACATAATGCTGAGATTTTTGGCTGTAGGATCGGGGTCGTTTTCCGGGAAGTTGCTCATGCAAATTTCGACATCCGGATTTCGGCATTATGAAGGTTTGACAATGGGTCGGCATTATGATTTAGCAATTTTGAAAGTACTGGTATTTTAAAGTTAACACGATTAAAGGTACCCATATTTAAATTTTTAAACTAAAATTAAAATTAAACTTTTCTAAACCCGTTGCAACATATAAAACCCTTTCTATGCGCTAGCCATAAAATCAAATTTTCCAGAGCTGCTTACGCCACAACTTTCGCAGCTGTTTCAGCACCTTCTTTTGTGAGTGTACTTGCGCATAATGTTGATACAAATGCACACCAAAGTACTGTTCAGACGAATGACGGCAATAAGTTATATTCAATCACATTTCGGGGTTCAGCTGAGGCTCGGGTTTGGCTTGGTGGGCGTGGCCGGGCTGGCCGGAGTCGGTTTTGGCTTGGCCGGACTGGCGGGGCTCGGGTTCGACTTGGCTGGCTTGGCCGGGTTGGTCGAGTTGGCCGGGCTCGAGCTCGGCTTGGCTGACTTCGGTGGCTTGGCTTCGCTGGCGGGGAACGGGGAGCACCTCTTGCCGGACGGTGGGGCGTCCACGACGCGAGCGTCGTGCACTTCTCGGAACGGAAAATCTGCAAGCGTCTTGATTACGCGAGGAACGACGGGACGGCGGTGTGGCAAAAATGTGGCACGAAGGTGTCTGATGTCTGCTGGGATGTACGGTTACCTCCGTTGCAGTCCTTGACGATGAGTTGAAAGACGGTGAAACTGTCCTCACCGATGCACAGAATGGCACCGTGGTTACGCTGAAATTTAAATTTAGTCGAAATTGAATCAATTTTGAGTCAAAAATTTTAAGCCAAGGCCGAAGCCTAAGTAACCCGAAGCTTAAGCCTAAGCCCAAGCCCAATCCAAGCCTAAGCCTAAGCCTAAGCCTAAGCCTAAGCCTAAGCCTAAGCCTAAGCCTAAGCCTAAGCCTAAGCCTAAGCCTAAGTCCCACCGTCGGCAGCTGGTAGTTCGACGACGAGAAAACGGTGGCACATTTTCCCTTGCCCGCCATGCCGAAACCAGACGGTTTCAACTGAAAATGGGGCCCGGTGATAGCGATCCTTTGTGTTTCGGGTTCTGGACTGTGAGCGGGGGGGATCAAATTTTTCGGAGCAATCCCGTACGGCGCCGTAACAAACGGTAGACCATTTTTATAGCATTTTACATAGTTTTTGGATATGAAAAGATCATCAAAAACTATAAAAAAATTTTACAATTTTGTTCGAGCTTTCTACCAATCATAAACTGCTAAAGGCACTAGTAAAATGGGTCATATGGTATCAACAAGTAGATGATGTATGTGCAAAAAAAAATATGTTTTTCCCCCTGCTACCCCTCCCCCCTTCCCCGCTAACAGTCCAAAACCGATCCAATGGCAAAGAACTACAGGAATAAAGTATACCACATCATGCGTAACGCAAAAGTACATTAAAAGGTTACCTGGTGGGCACGCACCATCAACCCGACATTGCAATTTTCGAGAATGAGGGACAGCCCCAGTTGGTTGAAATACACACCATTCCCACGATGTACGTTTTCGACAAATCTGAAATGCAAACGAAGTTCATGTTTCGGCAAAAAAATCAGAACGCCTTAAAGGGGTCAGGAAAGCTCAGTAGACCCTTCCGTATGACCGTGAACTGGTGTGTTTCATTTGTTCGCGTTTTAGCAAATATCTCGGTTCCATGCTCCCCCCCCGATAAAGCGAAAGAACAAAAAAAACGCGAAAAACCCGAGGCGTCTGTTCCAAACCGCCGCGATGGTGCTCACCCGCATTCGCCTCCAGTGGCTGCATTGAAATCCGACCACATCACTTCACTCGCCGTGGTATTGGTGTCAGGGTCGCAAATCGGCTTCCCCACCGCATTGACTCCAGCAACGCCGTCCTCGGCCACGGTTTCTGCAAAGTAAGAGGTCGTCACCGTCCAATCCCAAAACAGGGGCGTCCTTTGTTTCCGAGCACACGGAATGGGTTCTGGACTATTAGCGGGGCGGGGCGGGGGGGAGGGGTTAGCAAGGGGGGAAAACCACTTTTTGTTTTTCCACCTACACCTGTTGACGATATATTACGTATTTTTTTAGCGTTTTTAGTAGCTTTTGACTTCTAGAAAGTTAAAAAAATATTTTGTTCGATGTTGAAATATCGAGAATTTTTACCTCTTTTGGTCATTTTTCATACATTTTTTCACCAATAAGTCAAAAAATTTTGAACGTTTTATTATTTTTATCTTATTTTTAGATCTAAAAGCTATATAAACGCTATAACAATAGTCTCTATTTTGTTATAGGGCCGTAGAAATCACTGGGCGAAATTTGGTTTCCCCCCCCCGCTAACAGTCCAGAACCGTTAGTGGCAGTAGAGAGAGAGCAGAGAGAGAGAGAGAGAGAGAGAGAGAGAGCGACAGAAAGAGAGAGAGCGAGAGAGAGAGAAACTGGCTCTGAAGAGTAGATTGGTATACCATTTTGGTATAAATTTCGACATGATAGTTTTCGACCATAAGATAGCAAATCAGTCGGAGAACCTGTGAAACAAGCTTACCGCCACCACCGCCGTGCATCGCGATGAACCTGCCGGGGCTGTGCGCGATCAACGGGTACCACGAAAAGATCCAGTTGAACGTGCGCCACATTTCCTTAGCCGCTTTCTAAAAAGCGGACCATATGAGAGCCACGGCGCAACGACGGCTGGCCAACGACGGGACACGCACAAATTCAAAGCGGCGGGTAAGTTCCTCGTAGAAGCCGTATCTCGTGTTGATGCGAGCTGTCTCGTGATTCCCGCGGAGGAGGTGGACCTGTAAGCTCCATTCTAGTAGGTCAATACCATGTGAATTTGAAGGAAAAGTTGGTTATTTCGCATTATCGAGGGGGGAATGAACTTTGATGCATCGGTCTAGAAATGCCTAGTAACTTAATATGAAGTATTTTCATATTGTTTTGAGGCAAACAAGACTATAGTTTAACTCGAAAACAATAAAAAGTATTTATATCATATTAACTCTCACCCGATCAGGATAGAGGATCTTCAGGATGTGGATCTTGAGGAGCACCTCCAGCGAAAACTCTCCACGATCAACGTAGTCGCCCATGAAGATCAGGCTGAATGTTGGCGATACCGGTTTGAAATTTGCCGTTTTGAGAGCCATTTTGGAACCTCTTGGGGAAAAATCCTTACTAAGAAATTAAAATCTAGATCAGAACACAGCTAAAAACATTATAAAAAAATATTTCGAAAATTTTTGATTTTGTGGACAAAAATGCATGAAAAATGGTCAAAAAAAAAGGTAAAAAAAACTTTCAAAAAAGTTTTCTAATGTTTTTTTAATAACATCTTAGGGATCAGAACCCATTAAAAATATTGTTAAAATACTCTATTTATTGTCTACAGGTCGGCGCAAAAATAAAAAAATGGTCCCCGAAACTTAAAACAATCGAATGCATACCGGATTCCGTCTGTGCACATTTTGGGATCGGCGTGACCGACGTGATCGGTAAGGGTGGTAAGGTACAACGAGAGATCAATATCCTGCAAAATGAATGCACGTCGACTAGGATGGTGGCTGCCACGTACATTTCCATGCAAGTCGCCGAAAAGTATCGCCGGGCCGTCGACCAGCACAACTTGTCTCGAATCTTGTTGCAGCATGAACAACACTGCGGCGTTGATCTTGTCAAGGCTTTCGAGGCTGATTCCGACCTGCAACCAGGTCAACATCATTGACCCATACGAAACCGCGGTTCTTTCGCATTATCGGGGGGAGGGCAAGACTTTTCGTAGGATCTAATTTTTCAAATAGAAAAAGTGGACGTGCGTCTAAATAGCTTTTTACTATTATGCTACATGTAAAAACTACAAATAAACTACAAATTTGTATTAAATAACATAACAATATCGATTTTTCCACCGAAAAAGGTGTTTCCAACGATTTTTGACCAAAATTTCAACTTATTGAAATTTTTGGAAAATTCTTCATGGTTTTTCTGGTTTCAATATAGCTTTTTTCAGCTAAAAAGATTATCATAATACTTCATATTAAGCCAAAGGGCTTTCGAAACTTATACAAAACGTGGTGCTAATGCACCTGGGGGGCAGCCTGGATTTAGATTTTTTTAAACTCGAACCCCCCGAAAAACGCGACGCAAAACGCAAATCGTTGCGGATTGAGGATTCCCAGGAAATAGTAAAGAAAGACCGAACCCGTTTTCCGGCCAACATCCGTGCTTTGCTGAACACTTTGGGAAGCATTTTTTTCGCCTCGACCAGGCCTTCTTCATATTGCTCCTTGGTGACACGGGGGGCCTGAAACCGCGTGTCGCCTGTCGGACAACAACTCCCACCTTCTTTCCGAGAAGCTCTGCATCTTCGTCGTTTGTGTTAATACCTGGGTCATCCTGTTTTTTCTTTTCTTTCTTCTAAACGGAGGCTCAAACCGCATCACCCTTGCCCCCACCTCGGCGCGCGTCAGCTCCTCGTCTGCGGCTGGCGACGGGGTGCCGGCCCCGGAGGAGAGTCTATCGTCTTCGTTCGGCAAAGATCCGGCATGGACGTGCTACAAAAATCGGTTCTTACTAAGTCGACCACGACCGTACCTGTCGTGGGACGATCACCCATTCCTCGTTCTCCCATTTGACCTGTTTACTCAACGCTTTTGTTGCCTTGGCTCGCGCTTGTCTCATTGCCTGAAACTTCGTGTCGTATATCGGAAAAGCGCTCGATCCCAACCTCTTTTTGCTTGGATGTCCTTGAAATATAAGGTGCCACGGAATCGGTTTGCCTGTGGGTTTTCGGGCCCTTCCGTTTCTTCCTTTTCCTTTTCGGCGGTGGGCTGCCGGCGCCGGCGTTGCTCCGACCGCCTTTCTGCAACGGCCCAGCATTAAAGGGACCAGGAAGGTCGAGAAAAATTAGCCCTAAGCATAAAACTGAAAAAAATTTTAATCTATTTATATTTAGGTCGAAAAATTGATTTTGTTCGACCGAAAATGGCCAAATTTTCGACATTTTCAAAAATTTTCCTAACCTATTTTGAAAGTTTTTCTACTTTAAATATAGTTAAAATTTACTAAAAACACTGTCAAAACCCTTTATATTGGATTCCTAGACGATCCGGAGACTAAGCCTAAGCCTAAGCCTAAGGATAAGCCTAAGCCTAACCCTAAGCCTAAGCCTAAGGCTAAGGATAAGCCTAAGCCTAACCCTAAGCCTAAGCCTAAGCCTAAGCCTAAGCCTAAGCCTAAGCCTAAGGCTAAGCCTAAGCCTAAGCCTAAGCCTAAGCCTAAGCCTAAGTCTAAGGATAAGCCCAAGCCTAAGCCTAAGTCTAAGGATAAGCCTAAGCCTAAGCCTAACCTACGCAAACCCTAAGCCTTGGCTAAGTCTAAGCCTACAACCGCTACCTCCTCGGTGTTGCTGGGCGAGCTGCTGGTGTTGGATGAGGTGGTGGGCTGCGCAAAAAGCCCCGGGTACGGCTACAACGACCGCATGACAGTATGGGGGGCACCACCATCTTTGCTCACCTCGTTCTCATTGTGTTTCATCGCATCTTCTTCCTGGGATAGCGGAGCGTACGGTGGCTTCAGCACATTAGGCATGGGTTCAAGACGCTTGACCACGTTCGGTTGTTCGTCGTTGAACTAAAAAACCCTAGCCTAAGCCTAGCCTAAGCCTAAGCCCAAGCCTAAGCCTAAGCCCAACAGACAGTACCAGCCTTTCAGATTCAGATCAGGCCAACACTTACCTTCACCTCGATCTTTTTCGCTCGGAAGTAGCTGACATTCGACAACTCCAGCGGCAAGACCTGCCCTTCTTTTACTTTCTTGAAGTGTCTCAACGGCGGGGTTAACTAAAGGACCCCGTTGGCGGTGATGCGTCGAAACGGGGGAAATGGAACTCGACAAACGACCTTTTTTCGTAGGATCTAATTTTTCAATGATGCGAAAGAACTTAGGAACATTAGGTGAGTGATCGTTAGATTTTCCCCCATTAAACTTCAATTATTCAAGTTACCTTTTAGTTCCCCAAGCATACCAATTTATCCAGCGCTTCCTGCGGGTTCTCGAAAATGACCGCCTCGCCGTCCCCCATCGACTTTGTGATGGGAAATTCGTCCGTGGCCTCTGAAAGTTACCGGTTCCGGTTCGTTAGCGGGGGGGGGGGGGTAGTTTTTAATGCCCTATATTTTCCAATCTGTCGTTTTTTTGCGGACCACATCCTGGCGTCCCGGTAGAGCAACAAAAAAAACCAATTAAACATTTTAATTATGGAGCAAAACACAATAATCTAAAAACGTTATAGCAAAAGCAAAATTATTGACTGTTGACAAACAAATGTTACCCTCCCCCGCTAATGAACCAGAACTGAGTTACCTACCCGTAAACATCACAAGCTTGAGCGGTGGCACTGGGAGCTTGGGTGCCTCGGGCGGCTTTGTTGCTTCGGGTGACTTGGGTGCCTCGGGCGGCTTGGGTGCCTCGGCTGACTCCGTTGAGCTGACTGGGTCGCCTGCCCGCAACGGCCCTTCTTCAGATGCTGACCCCTTCCTGAAATGAGTGGAAATGTGATTTTTCAAACCATTGATGGTCAAAGCTTCACTTTCTATAAATATTTTGAAGGCGGCAGCCCGTAAATTTAGTCAGAATTTTATTTAAGCTTAGAGCGATGTCTAGAGGAGGCTCTGGGCTGTTAGCGGGGGGATCAAAGTTTTCCTTGTGATTCTGTATGAAAAAGCCTCAAAAAGTCAAAATTCTCCAAATTTTAAAAATATTGTTTGAAACTTTCCAGCAACCAAAAAATGCTAAAAACATTATAAAAATACATTACATATTCTCAAAAGGTAGGCACAGGTGGAAAACGAAAAGTGGTGTTCCCCCTGACAAAAATCCCTCCCCCCGAGCAGACCAGAACCGACTAGGATACAACGTATACTACCATCTTTCATCAAGATCGAGCCGCATTATTTTATCCCATACTAGCATGTTTTCGAGGAAAAAACGCTTACTCCGAGAGCAGTTTTTTCTTTTCCCGACGTTTCTTTAGTGCGTAGGCGCCGCCGCTAGCGGCCAGCAGAACAAAGATCGTGGTGCCGATTGCAATGTAAAGCCAGATCAAAGGCGGAAGGCCATCTGCTTGGGCCTGAGTTGGTAGGGGCCCTGTGGTGACCACGGGCGCCGGCGGAGTGGACAGACAGAATTGCTAAATTTCAGGAATTACAAGGAGTCAAGCATGATCCACCTGGTTCTGATCGACCTCACTGCACGGGAGCAGTTTCGAGACGGTCAATGCCATTATGCCGAATTGCTTGTAGAATGGGTTCTTGGCGCAGTTGAGCAGCTCGTCAGCTTCTACGATGGCTCTCTGATCCTCCTAGAAAAAAAACAATGCAATGGCTTGTTTGCAAGTCCAGGACACACTGGCAACCCGTCGGTCTTGATGCAGCGTGGGTAGATGACAGATGGAAGTGGTGTACCCTGGCGCTTCTGACGGCTTCTTTTTGTCGCTTCTCTTCCATCGTAGCTTCTTCTCGCTATTTGTCGGCTAAAAATGAATGCGGCTAAAAAATAGCAATTTGAAAGACCTCCGTCGAGTTGCCCGTATCATCCTCCGGTGTTTCCGGCTGTGGTGATGTGGTGAGGTGGCCGATCACCTGTTCGAAAATCATCTGTTCGAAAACCATCTGTTCGAAAATCATCCGTTCGAAAATCATCTGTTCGAAAATCACCTGTTCGAAAATCATCTGTTCGAAAGGTCATCTGTTCGAAAAGTCATCTGTTCGAAAATCATCGGTTCGAAAAATCACCTATTCGAAAAAGGTCCCAAATGGGGAAAAATTCTATGGGAAGCTATTGCTACTAAAATGCTGTGTTTTGCATGTTTCCTGGGGAAGTTCGAGGAAAATCTGAAATTGCGCGGCTATATCGAATCCTCCGCCGAGCCAAATAAGCGCCCGAGGGTGACCATCGACGAGCAGCAGTAGCTCTGCGAGAACTACAGCAAAGAATATATGGCCGAGTTCCTCGACAACATCGCCAAAATTTTAACCTGAATCTTCATGAATATGTCTTTTAGTTTTTTTAGTTTTTTTTTTGTCATGAAAAGTCTTTTCAAAAAAACTTTGAATTTTGGAAAAGTTGTTGCTTCGAAAACGGTGTTTTTTCGAACAGATGATTTTCGAACAGATGACTTTTCGAACAGATGATTTTTCGAACAGATGTCTTTTCGAACAGATGATTTTCGAACAGATGATTTTTCGAACGGATGATTTTCGAACAGGTGATTTTCGAACAGATGATTTTCGAACAGGTGATAGGGAATCTGTGGTGATTGATGGCTGGCTGTCGTTTTTAGGACGCAGATTGACCAGGTAGTTGATCGTCTCCTCCTCACTCATCAACGTCGCGTACGGTCCCGACTGGAATTACACGAGTTAAAGCAGGGAAAGAAGGAATATTTTCACCTACCAGAGCTCGACGAAGCGAGTAGTATGGAGGGGTTCCGGTCGGATCACTGATATCCAACAACACGCAGTCATCAGGTGGATACTGGCCGCCAACACGGGGAAATTCGCACTGTTGGTCACACTCGGTTGCCGGCTTGACGAGCTTCTCTCCACCCGGAAAAATCTTTCTAAACCAAAAAAATAATCAGTATTATGCAATATATACCTTTCTACGCCAGCGGGCGTACAGACAGGAAGTGGGTCGCATTTTACCCCAGCTGGACGCCCGCCTTTGCTGCAATACTGGAAACGGAAATATCCGAAACTTGGGAATATGTGTTTCGTTGGGACTGCCCACACGCTCATTCAGAGTGCGCACGAGCTTTACAAGATATAGAAAACTCTCCCAACACTTCATTATACAAAAGTTTTTACGAAATAATGCAAAATTTTTTGCTTTATCGAACTAGAGCGGCGGTTTTGGAAATGCGACGAAGGGGAAAAGTTATCAGCAAAAACAAATAAAATCCATAACATTTTCCATGGCTGGTTTTGTGGCTCTATAAAAAATTTGCTCAACCACTAACCCTCTAAGTTTGTTATACTAAAACCAAGGATCAAAAGCCGCTTCGCGACTTTTCAACCCTTTTGTAAAGTTTGTATGCTTAGGAATAGCTATAAACAGTTTAGAAACAATTCCAATATTTATATAAAAAATCTAGGCTTGGGCCGAAAAAAGTTCGATCCCCCCCCCCCGCGAATTCTATTTTTCAACAAACACCTAATTTTAACGTCGAAAACGGCTAATGTCTGAAAATTTTATGACTGTGCAGCCATCCCAAGGCCATTACGCACCTAATGAGGCATAACACATAAGCTTAACTACCCTTTTTATTGAGTTACTACTGGAACACGCTGATGGAAGTTCCACGGACACACAATGCCATACACACAACCGCTAAGGGTTTCGGTCCAGATGGTTCAAGGGAAAGGGCGTACTGTACGTGTTTTTCGCGCGTTGCGTGCAGGTGCGCGGAATAGCAACCGTTTTTAGCTGCGCAGGCCTGCTTTCGCAATTGCGCGACGCGTCTATCGTATGCGTTGCGGTCGTCTCTCCTTTCCAAAGCTACCGGACGTTTTATTAGGAGCCGGGCCGCTGTGTAGATGCATAGTACATATGTGCATGTTTGCCATACAGACACTATTTTTTATATACAGGGTGTCCCAAAAAAAGCACCCCCCTCCAGCGGCGCGAAGTCACGAGGTTTAGGTATCTATCGAAAGCTCTCGAAAAAGCGATAAAACAAGGAGGGTTTATTTTCTTTTTTATGTACCTTTATTAACAAATTTTACGTCCAAAATCATGAACGCGAGATCTGCATGCTAATCGCGAAATTCCTTTTGAAAATCTACCTGTTTTTTAGAAAAACGTTGGATATCGAGCGTATAAAAATAAAGCTCAAAAAATGAATCCCGCTTGTTTTCTCGCCTTTCCGAGAGCTTTCGAATGGTATAAAAATTATCCCGATCTGAGCTTCCCTCGGACCGCTAGAGGGTGCTTTTTTTGGGACACCCATTATAGTAGGATGTGCGTCGGGGGGGTTATGAGCTAAAGAAGAGCGGCGCTCTTGAAGGGATAAGGAGGGCCCACGTAGATGAGGGCTCATCTTTAATTGGCACGTAGCCAACTGGGTCAGAGAGGGGAGAGAGCGCAGAGACCCGCTTTCCCCGCGTCACCGGCTTTTGGCTGATCTAAGTGGGCCCTCCCGATCCTTTTAACATTTTTGGGGAGTAGGGGAAAACCCCTCTCGTGCGCGCCATCCCATAGTAGTAGACCTCCCGAACCCCCCTCCAGTTACCCCCAAAGACACCCATTTTGACCCCCATCGCAACACCCACCAAAACCCCCCAACAGACACCCCTGCCAACCCCCAATGGACCCCCACTCGAACCCCCCGTTCCAACCCCCAAAGACCCCCATTGGGCAAAATTCTGACTATTTTAAATTGATGTTTTTAAGGTTTAAAATCATTTCAGCCTTTTTCAACTTTTTTTTCAACACCCCTGAAAACCCCCATTCGAACACCACGCCCAACCCCCACCCTACCCCCCTCGCAACCCCCCTATCACCCCCATCCAACCCTGGGTCAAACCATCCAACCCGTATGGGGGTAAATGGGGGGGGGTTCGGGAGGTCTACATAGTAGTGTTGGACAGCACCCCAAAGCGAGCACCCCGCCGCCCAGTTGGGTGCTCTGGGAAGCACCCGCCCCCCACTGGGGTGCTCCAAAAAGCACCCCGGGGTGCCTTTCGGGGTGCTGTCCGGGGTGCTTTTTGGCAATAACTTTAATATATGAACTAGGCTTTTTTGACCAAATCAGAAGATGAACATCATCTTCTAGCAGTTCGGACAAGTTGATGCCAAACTGCTTGTAACTCATTTGGGGGTCGTTTGGTAGCATTTCGTCGAGGTTGTTCAAGGCGGCGGACGATTTCGAGACGTTTTTTCTAACCGCCCTAGCAGCCCTAAACCACAACATGATTTTTCACGCTCTTTCCAACGGAATACTTAACGTTACACGAAACCGTCTGGGGACAGAGATGGGAGCGTTTTAGTGCTGAAAGGCGTACTTGCCGAAGTTGTCGCAGCAGTAAAACCATCATAACTCGCTTGAAATTAAGTATTTTAGGGTGCCAAGTACATTATTCGAAAGAGCGCGAAAAGTTCTAGCCGTGTATCGAAGAAGATGTTCATCTTCTGATTTGGTCAAAAAAGCCTAGTTCATATATTAAAGTTATTGCCAAAAAGCACCCCGGACAGCACCCCAAAAGGCACCCCGGGGTGCTTTTTGGAGCACCCCAGTGGGGGGGGCGGGGTGCTTCCCAGAGCACCCCACTGGGCGGCGGGGGGCGGGGTGCCCCAAAAGGCACCCCGGGGTGCTCTCTTTGGGGTGCTGTCCAACACTATCCCATAGACCCGAAAGGCCGTCGTGATTGCCTACCGTTGGGGCCGTGGGGTCGAAAACATCGTATGGGTTCTTGTCGAACGAAGTTTCATCGGTCTGTATATAGCCGGCTGCCCGTTTAAGGCTTGGAATGCACGTAAAGGGAAGTCCCGGATTTTTAGCAATGGCGTCCTGGACGATTCTGCAGAATTGCTGTACGGGGGATGAGAGTAGCCGCTTACTGAGGGATGACAAATCCAGCATCACACTGCAGAAAGTATTGTGTGGTATGCGGGATTAACTCAGACAAGTATGCGTCGGCGCTCCTAAATCCACATCACAAAAACGTAAACAATTTTTTACAAGGGCTTGTCAGCACATAGCCCAGAAGCCACGATTTCGCGTGTGCAGAGATTGAACGGGAAGTAAACGGTCTCTGGAATTAAACCTGTGATGAAAAGTTGCAGCGAAAAGACTACCATTGATCACATCGATGGTGACTGGGGCTATACAATCTGCTGTAACGGTTTCTCCCTGCTTCTAAATTATCCAAGTGATGAGAATTGCTAACAACAAACGCAAAGATTGGGGCGGCAGCCCATAGTTTGTGGCCTTAAGTCCTTCGCGGCATAGAATTTCCGGTCCTCGGTGCATAGTTCACTCGCCGAAACAGTGCATGGCGAACACTAAATTTGAAATATGGTGACGCTTGTTGAACCATTTTTTAAAAAGATTAAACGTTCGTTTTCGGTTCGAAAAACAACCTTCGCCCTAAAAGGCATTTTTTTAAAATTAAAATTTGTAAAGCACGTCCATCTGCTCACCCGGGATTCCTCCGCGCACCCCCCCACGAATAGCACGAAAAATGTAATTTCCACATTGCTGCGTGCAGTCGAAAGCTAGTTTTCGCCGCCCTATCAGAATCTCTAAATTTCAGAATCTCTAAATTTCAGAATCTCTAAATTTCAGAATCTCTAAAAATCAGAATCTCTAAAAATCAGAATCTCTAAAAATCAGAATCTCTAAAAATAGGAATCTCTAAAAATCGGAATCTCTAAAAATCGGAATCTCTAAATTTCTTTGTTTCTCGCCGCCGAGCCATACAGTTTTTGGCGCAAATTGAAACTGTATGGCGCTTTTACTCAACGTCGCCTGTGAAAACTTTTTTTGGGGTAGTTTTTTGCCCTGATCACGAAAAACGTAACCACGAATCACAAAAAGTCAAAATGAATTGCTTATAGCAAAACCAAGTTTTGAAGACAACAGTTGTAACCAAGCACGGAAAAATGGCGCTATGGAAATGCATCTACGTTTTACGTGATTAGCGCAAAAAACTACCCCAGAAAAAGTTTTCAGGGGCTTCTTTGGGTAAAAGCGCATTACAGTTTCAATTTGCGCCAAACTCTGTATGGGCTCCTGTACAAAGAAATTTAGAGATTCCGACATTTAGAGATTCTGACATTTAGAGATTCTGATTTTTAGAGATTCTGATTTTTAGAGATTTTGAAATTTAGAGATTCTGAAATTTAGAGATTCTGAAATTTAGAGATTCTGAAATTTAGAGATTCTGAAATTTAGAGATTCTGAAATTTAGAGATTCTGAAATTTAGAGATTCTGAAATTTAGAGATTCTGAAAGTCCACCCTAGTTTTCGGCATTTTCTAATTGTTCCAAACTTTCTTGAACGGTATTCGATTAGACTTCAAAATAACGTTCAGGGTTTTGATTACAGCTCCTATGAACGGAATATAAAATTGTTCTTGCAAAATGACGTACAGTACTGGCCAAATTTCTATCATATTTCTGTTTTTAGGTTATAACTTCGCAGAACCCTGATGGTTTTTGTTCAAATTTACACAGGATGTTGGCTTTAATGTAATACGCTTGCTGTAACGTTTTCGTAATTTTTGTATCTAGCGTCGGTGCGTACAGTAACATTTTCTCGAGCAAATAGGGTCCAAAATTAATTTTTTTTTTGAGAAAATGTATTACAATTCAGCGAACATCGTGCGTAATTTTGAACAAAAACCATCCGAGTCCTGCAAAGTTATAACCCAAGAACAGAAATATGATAGAATTTTGGGCAATACTGTAGATTACAGGAAATTCTCCCTCCCGCATTCCCCCCCCCACCCCGCTCGAGAAAGTACAGTACCAACAATCCTGTTAAAGGCATCTACTGCCATACCTGCGTATCCTTGGGGCCAGACAGTTCAGGGTAAGGCCTTTCTAGCTCATCGAACACGTAGCAGACAAACGGGCGGTTGGAAGGGCACTGCAAAAATAAGAATGGCTTCGAAAAAATGCACACCGCGTCGTTGGTATCTTTACGGTAACGGTTGGGACGACTGATGTGACCATTTTGCGGCTCGATCCATGACTTTCTAAAAATATTTTCGAGGCGCAACTTTCAGATGCACGAATCTGTGCTGCAGGAAAGAAAAAACTTACCGGGCCGCCACTGCGACGAGGGCCACGATCAGCAGAACGAAGCCGATTTTACGCAGCACACCGGTTGAGATGCCCAAATGGTGGTAGACGGGCTGATTGGGCGGGTCCAGCATCTTGCTGCTGTAGCAAAGAAATACCACCGGTTCAGCAAGTATTTTTGAGCGCAAGTTGAGCAGCAATGACCGGTGATGCCGGCTTTTTCACGCAAATTCAAGAATGATGCAAAAACAGCTGTTCCCAGCAAAGTTTAATGGAAGCGAGATGCTGACTATTTTGTGCAGTTCACTTCATCTTTGTTTTTTAAAGACTCAGTCATGTTCGATCTGTTTTTTTAATATTTTTACAGCAGTCGTGGCAACTTTGTTCGTTCAGTGTAACCGGAGAGGTCTTTATTTCACATCCAATGCAGCAGTACAGACATTCCGGTATCACTTTTGTCAGATTTATGCAAAATTTGGAGCCTAAGCGCCGGTCGGCTCGGCTTGATTTGGGGTGGCGGCCTGGGAGTTGTCGCTGCTCTCCGACTTCGGGTCGACGGCCGGCTCACTGCAAATTCAATTCTCCATGGTCCATACAAATAGTGGAAGTGTTTCCAAGTGGTTTTTTACGATTCCGAAACGTGAAAACTTAACAAATTTGTATCCAAAAAAATATCAAAAAATATCGTTTTTCGATAGAAGAAATGGCGATTTTTGAGCAGAACTTCGATTTTTTTTAAATTTTTAGATAGTTTTCTAGTTCAATACAGTTATATATTACTGCAAACACTATTAAAGTACTTTCTATTGACCTACTAGGCATTTCGAGACTTCTACGAAAAGTTCGGTCCCTCCCCCCCCCCGATAATGCAAAAGAACCAAAATAGAAATATAAGGAAAGGGACCGACTCTTCTGCCTTCTTTCGACCGCCCGATTTCAGCAAGTAGATGACACCGACGACGAGGAGGCCAGCAATAAGGACCGCGGCGCCGATGCCGAGGAAGAGTCCGAGCTGTTCAGGCTCCTCTGGGGTAACAGTTGTTGGTGGCAGTGTCGGGGTGGCGGTCTGGCGAGTGACCACACAGAATTTCTGAAAGTCGCAGGATCTGTTTCGTTAGCAGGGGGGGCATGTTTTGTCCACAGCAACTTTCTAGCGATTAAAAACTATGAAAAACACGATAAAGTACATGATACATCATCAATAGGTGGAAACACAGAAAGTGATCCCCTGCTAACCCCCCCGGGCTGCGCTAACAGTCCAGAGCCGTCAAGCCTTATCTACCTGGTTCTGATCGACGTCACTGCACGGGGGCAGTTTCGAGACGGTCAGTGCCATTGCGCCGAATTGCTTGTAGAATGGGTTCTTGGCGCAGTCGAGCAGCTCGTCAGCTTCTACGATGGCTCTCTGACCTTCCTAGAAAAACAATGCAATTGCTTGTTTTCGAGCTTATGACTTACCGGCAACCCGTCCGTCTTGATACAGCGTGGGTAGATGACAGATGGAAGTGGTGTACCCTGGCGCTTCTGACGGCTTCTTTTGTCGCTTCTCTTCCATCGTAGCTTCTTCTAAAAAAAATCTGGATAAGATCTAGACGCTTAACAAGTTCCGTCGAGCTTCCCCCATCACCCTCCGGTGTTTCCGGCTGTGGTGATGTGGTGATTGATGGTTGGCTGTCGTTTTTAGGACGCAGCTTAGCGAGGTAGTTGATCGTCTCCTCCTCACTCATCAACGTCGCGTACGGTCCCGACTGGAATTACAGAATTTAAAGCAGAGAAAGGATAAGTAGCTCAACTCACTAGAGCTCGGCGAAGCGAGTAGTATGGAGGGGTACCGGTCGGATCACTGATATCCAACAACACGCAGTCATCAGGTGGATACTGGCCGCCCAGACGGGGAAATTCGCATTGTTTGTCGCACTCGATCGACGGTTTGACCACGGACCTTTCGGCAAAAATATTTCTGAACGGAACTTTGGTAAATTAATTGAGGCTAACTTTGTTGTTCCATCGGGCGCACAAACAGGTAACGGATCACACTCTTGACCTGCTTGACGCCCTCCCTGCGGACAATACTGAAAAGAGAGTCTCCATCGGACTGGAGGCATATGAGCACCTTGGGGGTTAAGGGATCGAAAACATCGTATGGATTTTTATCGAACGAAGTTTCATCCGTTTGCAGGTATCCGGCCGCCATTTGAAGACTTGGGATGCACGTCAGGGGCAGCTTCGGATTTTTAGCAACGGCGTCGAGGATCATTCTGCAGAATTTATTGTATATATGGATGAAAGTAGACGCGGTAAGAGTTCACTTTACCCACCCCCCCCCCCCCCTTCTCCCCATTCGGCCACCTGTTGACCTACAGGCATGTAGAGTATACCAAAATGTTCCTCTTGCTCTGGCGAGAATTTTGGTATACTTTACAGACCCCTACGACAAGTACAATAGGTGGGGTCGGATGAGGGAGGGGACGGGGGGGGGGGGGTAAACTGAACCACAGCCGTAGACGCCTACTTGGGAATGACAAAGCCCGCATCACACTGCACGAAGTATTTGGTGGTATGAGAGATAGCTGCAGTCGAATATGACTTCTTGCTCCTAAATGGTGAGGTTGATGGAAGGAAATAGGATCCCCACCAATTCTTCTCATCGCATTGTCCAGAGGCCACCATCTCCCGTGTGCAAAGGTTGAATGGCAAGTAGACGGTTTCTGGAATGCGTGTATCGTCTACAACAGTAACGTTATGTTGCAAAATAAAATAGCTACCTACCATTTATTGCATCTATTTTGACCGGGGCAATACAATCTGCCGAAGTGGTTTCGCCAAGCTTCTGCAAGGTTTGTGGTATGTGGCGTTGAAAAGGTCGAGCATACGCAAAAGTCTGGACTGCAACGGTTGCCCTTGAGCCTTTCCCCTGGTCTTATGAGAAAGTTGTCAGGGTCAGGACATTTTTCACGTGCAGCAGTGTTGCACGACGCGCACTAAATGCTGGCCCACTTTGAACAAGAATCTCAAAACCTTCCGTCGCTCTGTAATGCCCGAATACCTTAGCAAAGTCCTGCTTGCCGCCGTCTTTCTTCAGCCACGGTGGATATTCTTGGCCGAGTTCATCAAGGGCGTCGCAGACAAACGGTCGATCAGAAGGACACTGGAAATGGTGATCGAAACACTGCAAAACCGACCTCCACACTAGCATCCCTGCCATAACGACTGGGACGACTGATGTGACCATTTTGCGGCTCGATCCACGACTTTCTGAATATATTAAAATTTTTGTTTGCAGATAGGCACGAATATGTGCTGAAGGAAAGATGCAGAAACTTACCGGGCCGCCACTGCGACGAGGGCAACGATCAGCAGAACGAAGCCGATTTTACGCAGCACGCCGGTTGAGAACGAGTTGGAGATGCCCAAATGGTGGTAGACGGGCTGATTGGGCGGGTACAGCATCTTGCTGCTGTAGCAAAACACCGCCAAAGCGCAACAAGTATTTTGGAGGAAACTGCTTGATTTTCGAGCAGAAATGCAAATTTGCCTATGAATTATGCAAATCAGGGTTTGGTTTCAGGATTTCTGACCGCAACCGGACTGGTTTCCGGATCGAACGCAAGAGGTTCGAGCCAGGTATGTGCAAAGAAGCTCCACGTATTCCATTCGCGAGGACGAAGTCGGATTGTATGTATTTAGACTGCAGTTAGCTTGATCTAAACGAGGAACAGATCAAAATGTCCTCATCTTGCACGCATAAACCTAAGCCTGAGCCCAATCCGAAGCCGAAGCCTAAGCCAAGCTTGCGCATAGGCCGTGATGCGCCTAGCATACGACAAACTTTGAGGAACGACGAGCTTATCATCAAAACGTCATCATCTCGCTCTGCATAAGCCTACACCGAAGCCTAAGCCCAAGCCTAAGCCCAAGCTTAAGCCCAACCCTAAGCCTGCGCCTCGGCCCTGATGCGTACCACCAACTTTAGGAAACCCTTACCTCTCCGTGCCTTTAACGTCAACACCACTCCCCACGGAACACCACCTTTTTCAAGGGCCCTCACGGTTAGAACACGACGATAATCGAAGCATGTAAGGGAGGAGCCCAGTTTCCCACTGGCGTGCCACAAATTCCAGATTTCCCCCCCATAGGTGTCTATTGTTACGGGGGCACGTCGCGCCGGGTCATGGTTGGATACGGTAAAAAATGGTGGCCCGACCGCGGGGGGGGGGACAAGGGCCGGGGCGCTTGATTGTTTGGAGGGGGGTTGAGGGCCCCCGGTTGGAATGTGACGGCGCCGCGCGGAAAGTCAGCTGGTTGGAGAATATAAGGTGTCAATGGTGGTGGGGGTCCCCCCGACTTTGGCGCGCCGGATACAAAGCCTTGTCGCGGTCTGCCAGCCGCCTCCAATGTTGGTTTAATTTTTTTCGATGCCCATTCGTTTCGTCGAATTTTTGATGCACCGAATTTTGCCACCGGTTTCCTAACAAGAAAGGGTGGTCGAGAATTTTACAAAAACACAATTGTAATAGCGAATTTTTGTAAAAATCTGATATGAAGGCACGCGTCCCGGGTCCAGTCTACAGCCTACTTTTTTCTGCAATTTTCATCATTTCGAATTTTCATAACGCCGAATTCCGAATGTTGACATTTTTGCGTAGGATTCGAGGGGGTTTTTCGGGAAATTCGCTTATGTAAATTTCGATATTATGAAATTTCGCTATGATGAATTTCGACTTTTTGAAACTAACCCCATGTCGACCATTGTAGATGTTACCTATCTCGTAGCACGATTAAAAGTCAGGAAAGTTCCTTTTAGAGGGGCACTTTCAGCAGCTTCGTTCGTCCCAATCGTGGAAAAGTTGGATGCGAAACGTCTGCGCCTCTCGCCAGGGCGCTCTTTCTCTAACTGGAAATACATGCAAACTTTTCCCCGTTTCATGGAAATTTTTTCGGAAACATGACTTTGGGAAAATATAACTCTTCGAAGAACCGATTTTTAGGAAAAATTACTTTTAGAAAACAGGATTTTTTGAGAAGAGATCTTTTAGGAAAGACCTTCAGGAAGGAATTAAAATTATTATGGCAAAAACAAGACTCACTCTTGTTTCCACATCGCTATCTGGGGTAGATAGCCAGCTTATGAGACTTCGGCTGTTTTTGCAAAATTTCTTTACGGTCATTCCATAGAGCGCCGAAAAATATATCTACAGTTTAAATTTCTGACTAAAATAACGAAAGATAAACTGCTTACGCAAAAAATAAGCAAAATTCGGAAAATTTGTAAACAATAATTTAGTTTTATAGAGTTTGGCATTCATTTTTACGTTTTGAATGGTCCGATTTTGGATTTCAGCTCTTGGCATCTAAATTACAATGGCAATTCGCCTGGAAAACCACCGAATTAAATTAGCCTCAACCCAGTCCCACAACTCGACGATCGTTTGCCTGCCTGCCCATCACGTGACGTGATCGGCGTATTCGGCTGATTAAGGGCACATCAGATTGGGGCGAGGCCTCGCCGCCCCCCATCAAATTTCCGCTTCCGCGGCGCGCCCCGGCAGAAGACGGGTCCTGCTGTGGCCCGCGCGTCTTTTTGACGCCTGGCGTGTGCCCTTTTCACGTATCGCTTGCATACGGCCGCCACCAAAGAGACAGACAGAGAGACAGACAGACAGACATCTACACCCCATCATTGCTGACGCCTCCTCCCTCCACACATCTATGGTATTTGCCCAGTTTCACCATCGGCCCGCACTGCCCTCCCCCCCGTATGCAAATTTAGGCCTTCTTTTTGGGGGCCCAGCAACAGCCATCAAGTGGCATTTCAAACGCAAACATCTGGCAACGGGTTGCGATTTTTGAATTCTTGATTACCTGCTTTGCTTTTCAAGATTTTATCCCATCCGGTTCTGTGCGCTTCCTCAACAATTTCTGCTAGCCTGCCCTCTCCTCTTCCTCAACAATTTCTGCTAGCCTACCCTCTTCTCTTCCTCAACAATTTCTGCTAGCCTGCCCTCTTCTCTTCCTCAACAATTTCTGCTAGCCTGCCCTCTCCTCTTCCTCAACAATTTCTGCTAGCCTGCCCTCTCCTCTTCCTCAACAATCTCTGCTAGCCTGCCCTCTCCTCTTCCTCAACTTTTTCCTCTGTTAGCCCGCCTTGAGTCGAATCTTGCAACAACCTTTCCCGGCTTAGAGGCAGGCTAGCAGAGTTCCTTTGCCTGGTTTCCACATGGCTTTCCTCTCATCTCACATCCCATCCCCACCCATCATGTTTGCGGGCGTTGTGGCCAAATAAGGCCAAGGGCCCTGGTATGTGTCGATGGTTTTTTGGGCGCTTAGGAGTGGTGTGGACCCTCCAGGCCGCGAACGGGTCCTCAAAGGGCAGCGCCGCCGGGCGTGCGGCTTGCAAGCCGCGGCAAAAGCTCCAACGGAATGTTTAGGGTTTTTGGTTTTGGTTAACCCTAAGCGCAAGCCTAAGCCTAAGCCTGAGCCTAAGCCTAAGCCTAAGCTTAACCTAAGGCTAAGCTTAGCTCGCCGACCATTCACCTTTCCGCAACAAACTCTGCCAGCTTGCCCTTCTATTTACTTCCTTTTTTGGCTATTTGATTCTCGTCTCGAATTACACCCGTTTTAAAGGAGCGTTGAAGCCTAAATCTCAATTTTCTGTTCCGAATATGCGGTCAATTTGGACATGTTATTTCTGATCGTCTTCATGATTACTTAACCGACTCCCTCCAGTTCAGATGCTCCATGTAGCCGGGGGCTGGTTGCTCGTCCTGCTGCTCCAGGTCGTCGACTCGATGGACCTCTGCGAGTACTTTGCCCGCCTCGGCGTCGACAAGCCGGAATGCCGAAAGGTCGGCGAGAAATCAACGTGCAAAGCTCGACTTTCAGCAAATCCACTTCGACACTTTCGACCCGAACCCACGACCCGCACTCAACTCGATGGCACAGGTTTTGCATTTCCATCAGCTGCTGCCGTCCCCAGTCATCGTCGACTCGCCCAAGCTGCCCGTGCAGAAGTTTGAGCTCGTTGGTTCCCCAGGTAGAAGCCTAAACCCAAGCTCGCGCCGAAGCCTGAACTTATGCCCACGCAAGGTTAAGCTCAAAAAGTCACTTAGGATTCGACTACCCGCTCTGCAAAAACTACTACCACTCGTGCATGTTTTCGACAAAATGCGAGTCTGGCACAGGTAAGCCTAGGCTCAAGTCTAAGCCTAACCTACGCCTAAGCCTAAGCCACAGTTCTCGTGAGCCCGAGCCTAAGCCTAAGCCTAAGCCTAAGCCTAAGCCTAAACATAAGCCTAAGCCTAAGCCTAAGCCAAGGCCTAAGCCTAAGCCTAAGCCTAAGCCTAAGCCTAAGCCTAAGCCAAGGCCTAAGCCTAAGCCTAAGCCTAAGCCTAAGCCTAAACATAAGCCTAAGCCTAAGCCTAACCTAAGCCTAAGCCTAAGCCTAAGCCTAAGCCTAAGCCTAAGCCTAAGCCTAAGCCTAAGCCTAAACCTGAAACATCCATTCAGTGTGCACAACTGGTTTCGACACGACCCCCTGCTGCACCTCTACCGTAACCCGGTGCCCGTCCGTCGCCTCGTTGGGCATCAACTGCCGCAAGCCGAAAAGCGTCAATTGGTGCGTCTCGTAGTACAAATAAGCCTTAAGCTAGGGCTCTACAAAATCGTAAACAGCGCCACATATAAAAGACTAGGCATTTTAGGCGGATATCCAACGAAAATTCGCGCGAACCCGGCGTCAGGTAGTCCGAAAAGCACCTGGGGGCACACCATTTTGCACTGGGGCTTAGTTTCAAGGGACCTGGACAGAATTATCTAGACTTTCGCACACAAACAATCCCCCCCCCCACAAAGTCACCATCCCGTTTGTCAGCGCAGTCCAAATTCGCAGTCTTATCAAGCTCATATGCTTGTTTTTAGGTGCTTTACGGATCGTGATTGCCGGGGAGCAGCCACGACGTCATCGTCCATGTGCTGCCCCACCGGATGCAACTATAATATTTGTGTCCCGCAGGCAGACGTCTTTCCCAAAAGATCTCTGCTATCCGACAACTCCGGGGGACTATTTGCCAATCATCAATTAGGCGAGTTATTAGGGTTGGGCGGACTAGCAGAGACCGCTGAGGAAAAAGAGAAAACGAATCAGTGAATCACCCACACCAAACCGTTAAAATCATTTCCGCTTCAGCCTTCTCCCGCCTCAACCTCAACCAAGACCAATGCCCAGATCCATGGAAGATAGATGTAAGAATTGCATGATTTTTGAATACATTTGAATTCAGGTGAAGTGCAACGTGCGACGGCCGACAAGCTGGTGCGCCAAGCATTCAGACTGTCCCACGGTGAACAGCGTCAACCCGAGGAGGTTCGTGCTCTCTGTTAGCCTAAGCTTAAGCTAATCCTAAGCCTGAGAATAAGTGGAGCCTAAGCCTAAGCTCTTCCTCATGAATCTCCGCTAGTCTACCCTCTCTCCCAAAAATCCTGTCTTTCAGATGCTGCCAAACGCTTTGCGGCTACACGGCCTGCATGGTGAGGTACAACAACAAGTGGATGATTGCCTGATCACCTCCCACATCTCAGTTCCTATTAGTGTGCTATTTATTGCGAAAGGCGAGATCGAGAAAAATAAATATTTATTGCTTTTTTTGAGATTTCGTTGTAGTACAGATCTGTACATAGTGCCATATTTACAACTCGGAGTGTACCGTCGAGGTCGGGCCGGTTTCTTCATGCAGATACTTTGTATATTCATCGTACGGGCTGAGGTCCTCGAATTTGTGGAAGGAGATTGGCGGCTGTCGGGCAATGTAGTCCCTGGTAAACGCTTGGTTAGACATGTAAATATATAAATTACGGGACTTCTATTATGATGTACCAATTTTAGGACGCTCAAGGTCCCTTAAAAACTATCCGAATTGGTGCTTACTTCGCATAATCGGTCGATCGGGCCTGGTGAAAGGACGAGGAGTGGATAATCGGAATGTTGAAGGAACGGGCACAAACCCCTGAAAATGGCCAGTCGGAGCCTTGCCCAAGCCTAAGCCTAAACCAAAACCAAGCCATCACATACCAATAATCATATCATCCGGCGAATCATCACTCGGGCATTCGCAGTTTCCGGCCAGTTGCAAAGCCGCTGGTTTTGAGAAGATCATACTGAAAACACGAGATCATGGCTGTCACGCCCCCTTTAAGAAGTTAAGTCGATGGAGAACCTACCCAGAGCCTCCAGTCGGATAATCATAACCACCGCTTCCGTCCGCCGAATAGCTGAAGCCGTAGCGTTCGCCGATAATCATCTAGAGGGCATCTAGCAGGGATTGTTGAGGAAGAAAAAAGAGCACGCTAGCAGAGATCTTTTAAACCTACTTACCTTCTTCATATGGTCCCTCTCCCCTAAAAGCCTCAACAGCCGCGGAGTACTGAGGAGCGTATCGTCGTCGGCGATCAGCAACCACTTGTTATTCGGGTACGACTCAACGTTTTTCGCATAGTACCGAAGGATGGCCAGCGTCTTGGCACAGTGGCCTGTAAATTAAGTATATAGGAGCCATTTAGCCGGTTCTTAAAGGATCTCTGCTAGCTTGCCTTATCAAATTTTTACCTCGTTTAGTATTCGGGATTCCTAAAGTTTTCGTGGGTACGAAAGCGTCTTCAGCATCGCTAAAGTAGTCGATGAAGGGTAGGCGAATTCCCCAAGTACGTTTGACTGCCACGACTAAATAAAAGCTTTCGAAACCAAAGAGAGAGAGAAACAGAGAGAGAGAGAGAGAGAGAGAGAGAGAGAGCTAGAAAGATTACCTCGAGTCCTATGATATTCTGAATACGTCTTCACCGCCGCGTAGATGTCCTTGGCGTCCAGCGCTTTCTCTTGGCTGAAAGTGCCAAGTTTTCAAGATTTCTAACCAGCTTCGGACCTGTATTTTGGCGCGTTAAACGAAACCGCACAGCCGTCAGTCGGAAATAGACAGAAATCATGGGGTCTATGCTCCATTTCAATCCCGAGCCGCTCCTTGAGATATTTTGCAAACTAAAGGATTTAAGTTCAAGTTGGTTAAAGTTGTTAAAACTTAGAGTTAAAACTAAAGTATATACCTCGTGTTTCGCATCTATGGCAAAGTTGTCGGCGTACGGATTTTGCTGAAGCTCGTCGGCTAGCCTGGAAATTTAGCATTTCTGCTAGCCTGCCCTCTCCTCTTCCTCAACAATCTCTGCTAGCCTGCCCTCTCCTCTTCCTCAACAATCTCTGCTAGCCTGCCCTCTCCTCTTCCTCAACAATCTCTGCTAGCCTGCCCTCTCCTCTTCCTCAACAATCTCTGCTAGCCTGCCCTCTCCTCTTCCTCAACAATCTCTGCTAGCCTGCCCTCTCCTCTTCCTCAACAATCTCTGCTAGCCTGCCCTCTCCTTTTCCTCAACAATCTCTGCTAGCCTGCCCTCTCCTCTTCCTCAACAATCTCTGCTAGCCTGCCCTCTCCTCTTCCTCAACAATCTCTGCTAGCCTGCCCTCGCCTTTTCCTCAACAATCTCTGCTAGTCTGCCTGCCTGCTCTTAATTTTCCCCACTAAAATTGAATAAAAAGATACCTCTTCAAGAGTGCCGCCGAAATCGCGAGACCGGCTCCAAAATCGGGATACGGTAGCTGGGGCCCTGTCGGTGTATGATGGTAATGATGGATGATGGTCGGTCTGAATAACAATGGATCGAATCCTAAGCCTAAGCCTAAGCCTAATCCAAGCTTGCTTGCCTAAGCTTACAAATGTATCCACGATCAAGTAAATGTTAAATGCACTGAAAGTCTAAACCGACCCTTCATCTCTTAAAGCGTATCCAAAAATCATAGCTTTCGTCGAATCTTCGTTTCCCAAAAATTCGCATAATTTTTGTTGGTCCACAAGCGAATATGGCTCCACAATGACCAGCCAATTGGCTGAATGCTCGGAGACGCTTTTTGAAAGCCTTAAATTTTTATTTAAAACTAAATTAAATCGGAATGTGGTACCTCGAAATACTCTGAAACAACGTCCAGTGCCCCCATTTCCCGGTTTCGTGCGAGAATTCGACGCGGTTTTGCTGAAACATGGAATTTGTGTGCTTTTTAGGGCTCACAGATCTAAATAAAATCTGATTTATTAAGCTTAGAAAAGAAATATATGTTCTTTAAATTACCTCATCTCTTTCCAGACTTTCTTTCAATCTATTCGCCAACTCGTATTCGTCGGGTTGCGTCAAGATTTCGAATAGTATTTTGGCTAAAATCGGCCTGTAAATCCTGAAAATGAAAAAATTTCACCTGTTGTGCATTTTAAAAGTAATGTGAATATTGCTGGCCATATTAGCATCAATTAAGCGGTTTTTATAGGGCGATTTTAGAGATTTGTTTTATTGTTTGGTGATTTTCAGGTTGTAACCTAAGGCGGCTTCATGGCGGATGGGAAAGCCATTGAACAGCACGCACAGTTTTCGGGTGTTAGGTGTAGCTTCTCGGAAAGAGGGGTTAGGGAATAGCTACCGTATTCCACGAGCAGAAAAGTCCTGTTGATCTGACTTGATCTTAAGCCTAAGTCTGAGCCTAGGTCTGCGCCTAAGCCTAAGTCTAGGCTTAAGCCCGAGCAGAAGCCCAAGCCTAAGCCCAGGCCACAACGGGAGCCTAAGCCTAAGCCATTGTTGTCTTAAGGCTCCATATCGATTTTTGTTTCTAGCAAATCTTTTTAACGTTTCGGGCAGCCCTGCGTGAAGCAGGAAGGGGACATTCCAAAATTAATGACGGCTAGGGCACGGAATAGAAAAACGGGGCAACTGCTCGTGGGCCACTTCTTCCCGCTTATCCCTGGCCTTTGAACCCGCTGCAATTTGTCCCCCAGAATTTAAGTGAATTTATGGGTTCCGGAAGTTTCGGTCAAGGAGCCGATGCTTTAGCCGAAGCCTAAGCCTTAGCCGAAGCCTAAGCCTACTAAGCCTAAGCCCATGTCGCAACGCCCAACTCGATGACCATGAGAGAGTCTTGTGCAGATTTGCCGAACAGATTTGCCGAGCTCAAAAAATGGCAAAGAATGCAGAGAAAAGCCTCGTCAAATTTTATGGGGGCCTCCACTGCTGCACCGGGTGCCCTCGACCATTCGACCCGCAATAATAAGTGCCCTAGGGGTCGGTGGGAACGGGTCATAGGGCTTTTGCTTCGGTTTTCATAACTTTTCCTTGCTTCTTCTTAGCTTTTTCTTGCTGACTTGAGCTTCTAGGAGCCTTGCTGAACTTCTCCTGCCTGCCTCTCTCTCTCTCTCTCTCTCTCTCTCTCTCTCTCTCTCTCTTTCTCGCTCTCCCGCCCTCTCTCGCCCTCTCCATCTCTCACGCTCAATTTCACTGCTTCACAGACAGCCCGATTTTCGTTGCATTTTTGCGTGTCCCGAGTCTGGCTACGGTAGGCTGGGCGCAAATTAGGGAGCATAGACATGTAATTGGCTTTACTAGAGGGTTCCTGTTATTTTCCGGAGGTCCGGAAAGGGAGCGCCCAAACAAAAAACTAATTTTCCTGCCTAACCCTGGCAATTTGGCCAAGACTTTTTAGGTCCCGAGGGGATGAGTAACGAATTGTTAGCTTCTCTCCCCCTCCTCACTCACTCTCTCACTCTCTCTCTCTCTCTCTCTCTCTCTCCCTCTCTTTCCCTAATTTTGCCGTTTCACCACCCCCACCCGAAAGCGTCACCTGTTCACAAACCCCCCGCATACACACATATCCGGGAATCCCCGGAATGTGCTTGTTTTGGGGCCAGTTTCAAAATATTGTGACGTCTTTTCTTTTACTCTGCTTGGTCCATTGTATCTAATTCTTATAAAGACCTGCCCTACGCAAAAATTCCATAAAAGCTCAAAAATAAACTGGAAAATCACGACAACATGATCAAAAATGTTCTATAAGAATCTCCGCTAGCTGGCCGGCCTTTTTCTCTATACTTTTCAAGAATCTCTGCTAACCCGCTCTTCGTTTCTCAAATCATCTGTTCAACTTCCGGCCCTTCAAACGTTCTTCCCCTCCCTCTCCCCTCTAATATAATTCCGAGTCATCGAAAATCCCCCAGGGATCCGGGATTTTCCGGATTTCACAGCTCCCATCGTCACATCCTGTGACATTTTGAAAATATTCACTCCAGCCAGTTCTGATTTTTACATCCTGCGATTTTATTTTTGTCGTTTGTTCATGAGATGTCGTAGGTTTGGGTAGGCTAGCAGAGATTGTTGAGGAAGACGAGAAAGCAGGCTAGCAGAGATCCCTTGATCCTTGAGCATGAGCCGATGATTTCTGATCAACATCCGATCAAAATCCACGATCACGGGACCAGGGGAGCCCCCGGGCGTAAGACCAGACTATATGTCCACCCCAGAGGGGGACACGCGGCTGTCTGTGGCCACATAAAAATGATACATCTTCGCCCCGGCTGGCAATGGGTCAGGATTATTCGCTGATTTTGGTGTTTTCGAATGACTTTCGCGGATTTAGTAACCGTTTAATATTCTGCCTCTTTAAACAATTCCCAGGCAATGCCTACGTAGCACCTTTTCGGAAGAGCCACCTCAAATTTTCCCACGACTATTATTTTCTGGGCCCCTGGCAACCTAACCTGGGTCATAAACGAGCGTGTGAAAATGCTGAGGAACCCGCCAAATTTTATGAAAACTTGAAATATTCTCAAAACTAACAAGGGAAGTGCACGACCGGCCCACGAGAAATCGACACGAGACATAGTCGATCTGATAGAATCGGATACGGGGATTCCGAATCTGTAATCAGAATTTGCTAAATAAAACGGAGAAAAAAGTTATGAAGCTTCAAAGTTGGCCAAATCGCCAAAAACCGTACCTTTCAGGGCCCGTAAAAACCGGTGGAACGGAATTGAGGAGAAAAGAATTAGTGCAGCTTGTTCAGCAGAAAAAGCGCTTTCGAATGAGCTGTAATGCGTAGCATTTGCAAACAATTCACTGAAAAAAAGTTTTTTTGGATTCACGGGCAAGGGTATGGCCTGTCAAGTTCATAGAAGAGATTTTCGCGAAATCATCGTAAACTTGAAGTAAGATAGCTCATTCGAAAGCGCTTTTTCTGCTGAACAAGATGCACTAATAGGTTGTGGCAAATTTCCATTCCCTGGGCCTTTACAGGCCCATAAAAGTCCGATTTTGGGCGATTTTGCCAACTTTGAAGCTTCATAACTTTTTTCTCCGTTTTATTTAGCAAATTCTGATTACAGATTCGGAATCCCCGTGCCCGATTCTATCAGATCCACTATGTCTCGTGTCGATTTCTCGTGGGCCGGTCGTGTACTTCCCTTGTAAGCCTCCGAGCCCGATGTTCAGCACGATGCGCGCGCGTAAGCGCCACACACCTGCGCGGGTACAAGCGGTAAGCGATTTAGGCGTTTTTTAGCCTATTAGTAAAGCCTAAGCCTAAGCCTGGCCTAAGCAAGCCCAAGCCCAAGTCTAAGCCCAAGCCTAAGTCTAAGACTTCGACTTCCGTCTGCAAAAATTCATTTTTTGAAACGTCCGATAGCCGGGGGACAGATCTGACAGTTCCGCTGCAACAGCCTACTAAAAAGCGCTCTGTTGGTCAACAAAATCGAAGGAGAACGGTGGAACGCCGAATTCCCTTTCATTCCTAAAATTCCCCCGTCTACCGTAACCCCCCGTCTACCCCTAAAAGATGCCCTTCTTGCGGCTGGCCAAACGGCCAAAACCTGGCCGTATTGCTCATGGGCAGGTAAACTGAATTTTTGGAATTTTTAACAGGAACTTTTGGGGGCCAATGAGTAGAAACATTTTTGGAGTTCGGGAACGAGTTTAATTTTTTTGGGTCTTGGTTATTTTAAGGAACGAGAGAGAGAGAGAGAGAGAGAGAGAGCGAGAGAAAGAGAGAAAGAGAGAGAGAGCGTGAGAGTGGGAAGGTGATAGAGACGGAGCGAGAGCGGCAGAGTCAGCGAGAGCAAGAGGGTGAGAGAGAGAGCGAGTGAGCGGTGAGAGAGTGAGAGAGTGAGCGAGTGAGAAAGGGAGAGAGTGAAAAGGAACAAGAAGCTTTATGCCGTTCCTTGAAATTCTGTACGACCTAACCCCTTTGGCAACATTTTAAAGGTGGAGGAACACCCCGATTTTCACGATTTCAGCAGAAACCGTGACATTCCACGATTTTTGGCAACGAGCATAATTTCGTTCCGATTTCAAGTCCAATTTCCCTGAGAAAACCGATTTTCCCAAGATTTCCTGGCCTCCCGCCAGCCCTCCGAATCCCCCCCACCGTGTTTGCAAAACTGTCAAAAAGCGCGCGCGGCGCTGACAGTTTTCCCGGTTTCCGGCCCCCAAAAAAAATTCCCATTAAGCCAATTTCCATTAGCCGCTGCTGCCGAAATTCTATTCCGGCTATTCGCGCGCGCTGAAAAGTGGCCGGGAGGACATAAAAGGCCACCCAAGTGAAAGCCGCTTGGAAATTGGGTCATTACCCCCCTATTGGGTCCATCGGAAGGCCATTGGAAGAGTTTTGACGAACTCGGCCACTCGCTCGGCTGTCCAATTCCAAGGCTAAACTTGGGAAATATTCGCTATAATTTAAATTAATCGAAACCTCGCCGAAACTCTAATTCCAAACCGACGAAATGGCACGCACATTTGCATCCGTGGCGGTGGCCAGACGGCGAAGACAGGTATATTGGAAATGTCACCATTTCTTCAAAAACCCAAAGAATCTTTGCGGGCTTTTCTGAAACATTAATAATCTCTACTAGCCCTTCAAAATTTGCGACGCCTGAAATTCCTCAAGCATCTCTGCTAGCGCCCCAATATTCAAAACATCGGAAGTTCACAACCCCCTAAGATCTAGGCTTAGGCTTAGGCTTCGCATAGGCTTTATTTAGGCTTCGCTTAGGCTTAGGTGGTTCCTGACCATCGTGTACATCCTGGTGGTTCTTGAGCTCCACCCCTGTTAGTTTCCCCCTGCCATAAATCGTATTATGCATCACACGTGCCGGCCGACAGCTTTTAGCCGATAGATGTTTGGAGGACACGCCTCTCTCTCTCTCTCTCTCTCTCTCTCTCTCTCTCTCTAGCTCTCTCGCTCTCTCGCTCTCTCAAAACGGTCGCTAGGCCTTGCATCTTTTTCCAAAAAAAAACCCGCATAAAGGTTTGTTTTTCACAAAATCCGAAGAAAATATTTCGTTTCCCGGGGCTACGGTGGGGGCCAGAGAGCACATCACAGCTGGGGTGATGCTAGGATTTGGGAGGTCCGTCCGCGGGGGCACATCTCGATAAAATGATTTACTAGCTCTCTCTCTCTCTTTCTCTCACTCTCTCTCTCTCTCTCTCTCTCTCTCTCTCTCTCTCTCTCTGTTCCTCTCTCCTTCTCTGTCTCCCCTTCGTCTGTCTCTCTTTTTCCCCATCTCTCTCTCGCTAGTTTTCTGCAAACTCGTAGGATTCAATTTTTGGTTGGCAACTTCGGAGACCAAAAGTTTTTCTCCTAAACAAATGTTTTTAGGGTTCGGCACTTCGGTTTTTAGCTAATTTGCAAAAATTGACGCTCTCTCGTTAGCTGTCCGTGTCGTTAAATGGTGAAAATCGGGGTGTTACTCCACCTGTAAAATTTGCCAAAGGTGTTAGGTACTAAAGAATTTCCAATTTCAAATTGCGAAGAACTGCATAAAGTTTCTTGCTCTCCCTCATTCCGTCTCTCTCTCTCTCTCTCTCTCTCTCTCTCTCTCGCTCTCTCCCTCTCTCTGTCTCCCTCTCAAAATTTTTCAAAATCCATTTCCGGTCTACAATTTTGTGGACCGAGGATCGTCAACTTCTCCTGCTCCTTCCCCGCCGGCCAAATCCAAAATCGGCTCAAATTTCGCAGGGGCTTTTTACCTACTTTTTTGGTTTGGTGCCTCGTGTGGCCAGGAGGGGGGATCGGGTACCGTTGCCCCTCCGAAAGTTGGGAAACATGAGTTGCTCCCCGTCTCCCCCAGGCACTCACAGAACACTTCGAACTTTTGGACCTGGTGCTCAGGAATTTACGGCTTTATCGTTCGTTCGAACGTGGCTTAGGAATTCCAAGCTTTTCCACTTCATGAAAAATTAACGATTAGCCACTTGCTTTAGTTCTTTCAAAGTTGAAAACAGCTTTTCTTTTCACTTCTCAGTCGCTTTAAGGTCAACTAGTTATCGTCAAAGTCTTTCGATTCCTTTCGAGACAATCTATAAAATTTACAAAGGAGTTTTCTCTCTCTCTCTCTCGCTCTCTCTCTCTTTCTCTAGCTACGTCTCTCTCCATATCTCAAACTGCCTCTCTTTCACCCTCTCTGTCTTTCTGGATCTCTCTCTCGCTGTCTCTCTCACGCAGATCTAAGCAAACCACCCATTGCCAATTACAACAAAATATGATAGCTTCGAGCCTTGAGCCTAAACTACGTTTGTTTCCTACTCCCAAATCCTGTCTCCCCCAACTCCTTTCTTTTTCGAAATATCCAAAAACAGAATATTTTTTAGTTGCTGGAGAGGATGAACCTCAACCAAAAACGAGGAAACATCATGCAGTTCAGCGAGGATATCATCAAGCAGGTACGCGCTGCCTCCGCCCTCTCCTCTTCCTCAACGTATCTGCTAGCCTGCCCATTTTCCAGTTGACGCCCGAGGAAATCGACGAGTTCAAGGAGGCCTTCATGATGTTCGACAAGGACGGCAATGGCACAATATCGACCAAAGAACTCGGAATTGCCATGCGATCACTTGGCCAGAACCCGACCGAACAGGTAAGGTTTTAACGGGATATGGCAAGTGATTTTCATCACTTTCAGGAAATCCTGGAGATGATCAACGAGGTGGACATCGACGGGAATGGGCAGATTGAATTTCCGGAATTTTGTGTGATGATGAAGCGGATGATGAAGGTGGGCGCGAATGCTAAAAGACTGCTTGACACTAGACCTAAGCCTAAGCCTAAGTCCACGTATCCTCCTATTTAGGAAACCGATTCCGAGATGATCCGCGAGGCATTCCGAGTATTCGATAAAGACGGCAATGGAGTTATCACAGCCCAGGAATTCCGATATTTTATGGTAAGCTTATGCTCTAGGCTTTCTAGGGGATTTGGTTTGTTAGTGGGGGGGGCTTTGGGCCCTCTCCCCACTAACAAACCAGAACATTCGGGATTTCAAAGGCCCATCAAATTCAAAAATTTTCAGGTTCACATGGGAATGCAATTTTCGGAAGAAGAAGTCGACGAGATGATCAAGGAGGTCGATGCTGATGGTAAGGGGCTATTTATTGAATAAAATTTTTAGCATTTTCCGGCCTTAAAAATCAAAAATAAAATTTTAGCCTAAGTAATTTTAGCTAGCTTAGCTAGTATGTATATATTTTAATGTTATATATATTTTAATGTGAGTTTAATGTGATTTTTCAGGTGACGGCGAGATCAACTACGAGGAATTCGTAAAAATGATGTCGGACCGCTAATTGATTTGAATTTTTTCGCATTTTTTGCCTCCCCGGATCTCATCTCGCGCCCAGGATGAATTTGCAAATTTTGTATCGTATTTTTTTTTATACAAAACCTTAACAACTCCAAAAATTCACCTTTTTGCATACGTGTCGCCCCCAAAAACGTGAGGACCAAAAGAGAGACGAAATTCTGCCCCCATCGGGATCTCAAACACAAATTTTTTCGATTTTCCCCCGCATTCCCGTGTACTGTACGCATGTAAATTTGTTGGAAATAAATTGCTTAAATACTATAAGAAAATAACAAGCTAAAAAAGCAAAAAAAAATTAAAATATTGGGAATTTTCTTAAGATTTTTAAGTAACTTTTTTAAATCGATTTATTGGATAAATGATTAAAACATACATAAATAAATAAAGATCAATAATATAAATAAATTAGCATCAATCAATTATTTGAGCTACTAAAAGAATACAAACTACAAATTTAAATATACAATTCGGGGTGGGGTAACGGTAGGGGATACCGTAGTCAATTTTACTCGTCTTCCGGCTGAGATTTCTTCGGAGTACCTTTCTTGGTAAATGTGGGCGTTTTTCGTGATTTTCTACTGATCGCATACGGTATCGCAGTGGGCGCAGCACAGCTTGGCGTTCCAGAATATTGTGCAGTATCTGAAATGGAGGACGTCATGTCACGCCCCCTTTAAAGCCAAGCCTAGTCCTAGCCCTAAGCCTATGCCTAAGCCTAAGCCCAAGACCTCCCGACGTCGTACCTCCTAAGATGCGTCATCTTCTGGGGCATCCGTGCGACGCAGCGCTCGTTCAGAGGTGCTACGCGTAGCGGCCCACCGCCCGTCTCCTCATCATTCTCCTCGGCCACCGGAGCCGCAACTTCCGGCTCGCTTGGCTGACTGAAAAAGAGGCGTTCAGGGAGGTTGAAAACCTCCAATGACTCCCAAAAAAACGCTATTAATGCTTAAAGCGTACGTTTCCTCTCGACTCCGTGGTGCACCTAAGACTGATCTATCGTAGGGGTGGAAGCCGCGAGCTGGAGCTTGTCGCTGTCGTCTGGAAAGTAGACTAGCAGAGATTGTTGAGGAGGAGGAGAGGGCAGGCTAGCAGAGATTGTTGAGGAAGAGGAGAGGGCAGGCTAGCAGAGATTGTTGAGGAAGAGAAGAGGGCAGGCTAGCAGAGATTGTTGAGGAAGAGGAGAGGGCAGGCTAGCAGAGATTGTTGAGGAAGAGAAGAGGGCAGGCTAGCAGAGATTGTTGAGGAGGAGGAGAGGGCAGGCTAGCAGAGATTGTTGAGGAAGAGAAGAGGGCAGGCTAGCAGAGATTGTTGAGGAGGAGGAGAGGGCAGGCTAGCAGAGATTGTTGAGGAGGAGGAGAGGGCAGGCTAGCAGAAACACTTACGGTTTCCCGTAGTCAACCTCTTGGTTCGGGTAGTTGTTCTCGCGCAAAAATTCCAAGACTTCTGCGTAGCTGCTAGTCATCCTGAAATTTAGCAGCTATTTTATTGCTCCAACAGCCTGAAAATAAGCATTTTTGAAACTCACCTATAATTAAATTCAACAGTAAAGCAGGCTGCAATCCGGGCAGTGTTATGAAGACATTGGTGCGCCCAGGAGCTCTAAAATCACAATTCAGAGGGAGTAAAAGCAAAAAACATACCTTACAATCCTCCATATTGCAGTAGAGATAAGAGGACCGGTAGTCAGAAGCCGGGCTGCAGGATTTGCACTGTAAGAGGTAAGCTATGTCGTAAGGGAAGTCTAAAAACCTAAGTCTAAACCTAAGCCTAAGCTTATGCCTATGCCTAAGCCCACATACCTCCTGGCTCCCTTCAAAGTACATTCGTTGCGACATCGACGGCTTCGAAGCGGCGATCAGATTCAGGAACACTTGGAAACGGCCTTGCTGAAAATAAAAATTGTATTTTCGGCAAAGAATCTCTGCTAGCCTGCCCCAAAACCCAATTTCTTCAACTTACTCCCTTATTCAACCGTTTCGTAATCTCGCGATCCAACCCGTTCGCCTTTTCCTTTACCATCCTCTCAAGCGCATCTTTGCCGGGCAAAGAAATTGTTTTCTGAATGTTTACTAATTTTCGGGTCGATACAGTATACCTTAAATTCATAAGAATCTGCTTGAACCGAGCCGCAGCGGCCGTCCGCTTGGGTGTCGCCCTGAATTTGTGGTTATATGCCTTCAACAGTCCTTTATACGCTTAACAAAACGTTTAAAATGAAGTCGTCCTGCTTGCTAACAATCTAAAGCACAAATCTAAGCAGCCAAAGAAAAACTCCGAGACTTCAATGGTCCTTTAAAACCATAAAAATATCCAATTTTTTGCTGCACAAGGAGCGAAAAAGAAAGTGTATATACTCTCTCCTGACCGAAGCCTTCAATTGCCCTTTAAAACCTCAACATCTACACATTTTTTCAACATCGCTTAACGAAGCGTCCAAAGAACCGGCTTAACACCCCTTCAGACTAGCACACCTCGCCCGCATTAAGCTTTAGATAACAGCCGTCAAAAATTTGGTCAGAAATTCAGAATTCCAGCTTGTTTGGAAATTCCTATTTTCTCGCTTGAGGATAAAAATGGAAGCAAAATTGAGCCGAACCCCTCTAATTTTCCTGGGCTTCCTCGGCTTGGCACTCTGCCAGACTTGCCCAGATGGATGGCAGGAGGTCAACGATGATTGTATTTACATCGGGACCGAAGGTAAGTTTTGAATAGTCTTACTTCCGATACTCCATTTAAAGTCGTTCATTACTAGTCTGCAGCCATTTCAGGTACGAATTTTGATAATTCAGCTCGACCAAAATGTCCTAAATTTTTCTTCTTTGTATCTCCTGTTTTTCTTTTGCACACAATCCTAAAATGACATAACATGAATGCGCACATAACTAAGAAAGAGAAGAAGCCTATGTTGTTTTTAGCCTGGGACTACGATCACGTGGTGAGAAGCTGCGTGCAGAAGGGAGGATACCCGGCCATTATCGGCAATATTTTTCTGAATAACGTAATTCAACAGGCCTTTCAAAAAGGTGTGGTGTTTTTCGGGTTTCGGGAGGCTAAAAGCCCAATTACATCACAAAATTGAACCGCACGCTCCGAATTTATGCTTTTTTTAGCCGGCGTCTCTCGTGCCTATATCGGCCTTGCACGCTACAACACGCAATGGCGATATGCGAATGGCAAGAATATCACGTACCAACGGTGGATGAATGGTGGGTTTCCGGGAACAATACCATCAAGAGGCATAGCATTGAAAACTTTTGAAAACACTTTGCACTTCCTTTGTAAAAATACTGTAACCCGGAGATTCGCAGAGTTGTGCCTAAGCTTCGCACACACTGTTGTTAATATTAAGGCGAACCTCGCAGCGATCAATACAAGGGAGTCATGGAAGTGAATTCGGGCTACTGGGCGACCGACGACGATTTCAGGAATTTGACATATGCGTGTACGCAAAGTGGGTGGAGAATTAGAGGGCAGGCAGCAGGATTCCCTAGCAAAACTTGGAGCCATAGAAGCCTAGAAGTGATTCTTTCCATAAGCCTGATCATGTCAAGCTAGCAGAGATTGCTTACTAGGGAGGTAGCTGAACTCGGCATCGAACTTTGAAAAGTCAGATACACCATTCGACGCGCCTTGTCGAGGGGATTCCAAATATGTCATCAAATCAACCAGAGCCTATAACGATAAAAAGTTATGAGCATTTTAAGTTTTGCAGCGAAAAGCGCCGCGGCGATATGAGCCCCTCCCAGCGCACCCTGTTCATCGGCCCCGTGGCCTTGTGGTGTGCGCATGGGTCTCCGGTCTGTATGACCAGGGTTCGGATCCACTCACGATTTTTATTTTTTGCTTTTTGTCCAGTTCCTACTTTTTGCATTTCCAATCTCGGGAATAAGTTTTTCTTGACTGTGTGACCCCTAAAAGGCACCAGCGATGATAAAATAACCTCGGGCAACCAGACCAGGATTGGACGCTCTCTATATCAAAGTTGGCAAAATCATCAAAAACCGCCCTTTTAAGACTCTGTACGAATTCGAAGAATGTAATTTGTCGAAAACAGAACAGTACATCTTGATCAGCAGAAAATTCTCTTTCGAATGTGCTATCTTACATAGGCTTTACGCGAAATTCTCGAAACGTCTTCGGCGAGCTGGCCATACCCTACCCTTACGCCGCATTCCAAAAATATTTTTTACGGAAATTTTTGGCAGCCGTATGTAACATAGCTCATTTGAAAGAGCTTTCTTTGTTGAATAAGGAGCACTAATCAATTTAGGCTAAATTCCATTCCGCGGGATGATACATGGTCTCAAAGATACTGTTTTTCACCATTTTGTCGACTTCGAATGCTCATAACTTTTTACGGTCATACGCTCTGGTTGATTTTATTACATATTTGGAATCCCCTCGACAAGGCGCGTCGAATGGTGTATCTGACTTCTCAAGGTTCGATGCCGAGTTCAGATACCTCCCTAGTTAGTTAGTAGTAACTGCGGCCAGGGAAGCCTAACCAAACTGTTGTGCCAATTCAGCGACCTCGAATATGGGCAGAACCTTATCAGGACAGATTTAGCGGGAAGGACAAGCCGGCATGATTATTTAGGAATTCGTTAGGAATATAACATTAATTCAGTTTCTAATTTAATTTTTGCAGAAAAAGTCCAAGTAACATGTGACGATGGATGGAAGGGCTTTGGTGACAGTTGCTACAAATATTCTGTAAGCTACCGTCCAACAATTAGCATCAAGTAACTTAGGATTTTGCCACCTACACCGACGAGAATGGGACCCACTGGAATTTGTATAATTTCACGCAAGCCGAGGCCCAATGCCGTGAGATGGGGACGCATTTGGCCTCGATTCATAGTCAATCGGAAATGGCTTTCGTGTACGGTAAGCCGAGCATTTTCAGGGGAACTGAGCCAAGCCGAAGCCTAAGCCCGTGCCTACGCAAGCTTTAGAACTTATCAAAACCAATCTAACGGAAGACTTTGCCGACAGCATGGTTGAAGATGAGAATGGCTGTACGCACATGTGGGCGTATGTATTTTAACTTAAAAATTTGAATTATATTACATTACTAGATATACGGGACTATACCACAACGCAATTAAAAACTATACAGTATGGACGGATGGGACCCCGCTTGATTTTATCGGTCAGGATGCCATTAAGCAGTACAATACGGCTAGTATGGAGGTATGTGTGGCTTAAGAATAAGCCTAAGAGTAAGCCTAAACCTAAGCCCAAGCCCAAGCCTCCGCTTCTAGCTTCTCAACGATTTCGGCGACTGCTACGACATTGACATCGACGACAACCCGGCATCCTACGTCTACTGGGAGGCTGCCTTGCCATTGGCGCGCTACGTTTGCGAAAAACCGGGCGGGGCGTAGTGGAGTTCGATATAAAGTGTTCGATTCTACAGTACTAGCACATCAAAAAGTGTGTTTTACAGAATTCTACGAAGTCCCAACATAAAATGCAAATTTTTCGTCGAAACCCCATTTTCAAGCATCAAAGCTCTGGGGAGACAATTCGAAAATAAAATGCGCCCCACCTCTACCGTCGGTAGAAACACGTGCTCCTCGTTGATCTTCGACTCGACGGCCTGCGAGACGGAGCAGAGATCGCAATATCGGCTGAAAAATTTCGGTTTCTCTCTCTCTCGCTATCTCACCAATATTGTCGCCCATTCCGCTCAACTATTCCCGAATTTGCGTCGCATTTCTGGGACAGCAAGCCCGTTTCCGGAATCATGGGATACGGTAGGTCGAAGCGCATTCCTGAAAAAGGATGGTTAACTTAAGCCTAAGCCTAAGCCCAATCTGAGCCTAAGCGTAATCCTAAGCCTAAGCCTAAGCTTAAGCTTATGCGAAAGCCGAAGCCTATGTCTAAGCCTAAGCCAAGCCAAATAGCTTACCAGCGGGACCCTCAATGATCGGAACTTGTAGCGTAACACCGATCTCTCCGGCCAGGAACCCGAAATCCTTCTGCACTTTCAGATTTTTGAAGTGTAACGAGTAGTTTCCGGGTGCCCGGATGTAATAGGCCTTAAAAAATACGATATATTACCAGAAACTTTTTTTATAAATAACCAGCGCCCAAAACCCGCTTCGCGGGCCTTGGGCGCTGGAATGCGGCCTTTGCATGAGAAATTTGATTTTCCGATAGCTTGGGTCCTTCGGACCACTCCCTTCATCCGACCACACCCGCGCGTGCAACTTGCAAGAATAAGGAAATTTGTATTTTTTGGACTTATGCAAAGTAGCCCTCCCTTGCGCCGGACACACACACACACAAAGATACGCGACCAAATTATATAAGGTAGGATATCACTTCCGCACTAAAACAAATCCCGATACCTTGTTGCCCTTGTCGTTGACGATGTTGATGTCTTCCTCAGAGATTTTGATTTCATTTTTGACTGGAAACCGCAGGGATACGTCATAAATTATGCAAAAGACATACCTCCCCTACAGGAATACACGCTGACCTCGTCGATCAGAATAAAGAGATCGTTGCCGTCGTCTGGGTGTTGTGCAAAAATTTGAATTAGAAAAACGGCGGCTAGAGGGAATATTCTCATCTCTCGGCCCGGCGAAATGAGAGTTGAGAGCTGAAATTTCAAAATAATTTGAATTTTGAAATTACTTGAACTTTGCTAGCTTGCCCTGCGGCCTGAAAATCTTAAATGGTCACTGCTAGCTTGCCTGGGCCTCGAAAACTCCCTAAGGATCTCTGCTAGCCTGTCCAAAACTATTTTTGCTAAGGAAGCTCTGCTAGTCCCCCCCCCCCAGTCTCAGCTTCCCAAAAAACCTCTGTTAGCCTGTTTGATCCTCGAAAAATCTTAAGGGATCTCTGCTAGCCTGCCTGTGCCTCAAGAAACTTTGAGGAATGCTTTCCTAAGCATCTTACAGACTCTTTGCTAATGGCCCAATTTTTCTATACCTACAACTCACCTTTAAAAAATCCGAAATCCCAAAAATCAATCGTCGTCGCGCAGCGTAGCGTAGTGTATCCCCTCGTAGTCAAGCGCGACGTGTATTCGCCGTGTTCTTCTTCCGTTCCGCCGGGATATTTGGGGGAAAGTAGACGTTGGTAGATGTGGTTGGTAGGTGGTGCTCTTGGCAGACCGGATCAACAGCCCGAATGGCACTCTCAAAAACCGGATTTTGAACCCACGACCACAAAGCTGAGGGGAGAGCCCCGAGGGCATTGGAGGAGAGAGAGAGACAGAGAGAGAGAGAGAGACAGAGAGAGAGAGAGACAGAGACAGAGACAGAGAGAGAGACGAAGGGCCTAAGCTAGGGTAGCTGGTATGCTCTGGGGCTATGACGAGACCTTAAGCCCGGGATTGGGACGGGGAAATCGTTTCTTAAATGTCGCTTAAGGTGCTTTGAACCTTTCTTCGATAGGGCAAACTGGCAGAGATTCGTGAGGAAAAGGATAGGGCAGGCTAGCAGAGGTTGTTGAGGAAGAGGAGAGGGCAGGCTAGCAGAGATTGTTGAGGAAGAGGAGAGGGCAGGCTAGCAGAGATTGTTGAGGAAGAGGAGAGGGCAGGCTAGCAGAGATTGTTGAGGAAGAGGAGAGGGCAGGCTAGCAGAGATTGTTGAGGAAAAGGATAGGGCAGGCTAGCAGAGATTGTTGAGGAAGAGGAGAGGGCAGGCTAGCAGAGATTGTTGAGGAAGAGGAGAGGGGCAGGCTAGCAGAGATTGTTGAGGAAGAGGAGAGGGGCAGGCTAGAGAGATTGTTGAGGAAGAGGAGAGGGGCAGGATAGCAGAGATTGTTGAGGAAGAGGAGAGGGGCAGGCTACAGAGATTGTTGAGGAAGAGGAGAGGGCAGGCTAGCAGAGATTGTTGAGGAAGAGGAGAGGGCAGGCTCAGAGATTGTTGAGGAAGAGGAGAGGGCAGGCTAGCAGAGATTGTTGAGGAAGAGGAGAGGGCAGGCTAGCAGAGATTGTTGAGGAAGAGGAGAGGGCAGGCTAGCAGAGATTGTTGAGGAAGAGGAGAGGGCAGGCTAGCAGAGATTGTTGAGGAAGAGGAGAGGGCAGGCTAGCAGAGATTGTTGAGGAAGAGGAGAGGGCAGGCTAGCAGAGATTGTTGAGGAAGAGGAGAGGGCAGGCTAACAGAGATTGTTGAGGAAGAGGAGAGGGCAGGCTAGCAGAGATTGTTGAGGAAGAGGTGGGGCTGACTATCAAAAATCTTTTAGAAAAGAAAGGGGGGCTAGCAGAGATGATTTGACATATTTGAGCACGAGCTATGACCCGAGATCGATGCCCGCCCCGCCTTTTAAAGGCCTTTTTCTGAATACCGCTACCACAAAACAGGAATAAGTCAAGCTTAGACAGCCTCAGGGTCACTGGAGCATCCCGAAACCAGCGGCTACAATCCAAATCGAGCCCAGGGGCAGACCCTAATTTGCATATGAAGGCCCTGCTTGGAAGGGGTGGCGGATCGGAAAAACGGGCTGATCGGGATTGAGGAGCCGGGCGGGAGGGCACATTTCGAGCCGGTTATGCCCCGGCACACAACCAGTTATGCTAAAACGATCTGTGGGAGCCGAAAAATAGGGGTGGATATCGAGATTCGTGGAGGGTAGGCTAACAGAGATCATTGGAGATGACGAAAAATAAATGAAAAAACCCAAAGCAAAGCTGAAGCCTAAGACTAAGCTTAAGCGTGAGCCTGAGCCTAAGCCTAAGCCCGAGCCTGCGCCTGAGCCTTAGTCTAACACTAACAACCCCCAAAAAAATGTGCGACCGAGTTCAAGATGGAAAGTGTAGTGCAGGAATCGATGGGGTGAAAGGTGGTGCTCCTCCGGGCGAGTGAATCTGGGGATTGGGTGAAAGCCTGCTTTCTCCTTGTCTGTCTGTCTGCCCTGTTCGTCCGTCTGTCCAGATATCCAGAAACGGGTCAAACACCCGCCCGCACAACCGAATACGCCACTGAAGGGGGGATAAGGGGTGAAAGCGGTTGTGAGGATCACCGGAAAAATTTTGAAAAAAAAAAGAATTGGGTCTGGAAATGGAAATAAATGGAGCAATTATCTCTGCTAGCTTGTTGGTGGGGTAAGCCTAAGCCTACGCCCAAGTCTAAGCATAAGCCTAAGCCCAAGCCAAGGCCTAGACACATTCTAAGCTTTCCCTAAAAGTCTTTGCTAGCATACCGAGCAGAAAAACGTAAATTTCGTGTTTCGACCCTCAAATGATCTCTGCCAGCTCCCCCAACCTACAAAAATCCCACGCCGAATACCGAATGCCGACAAAGTGTCTGTCTTTCTTCTTGTTTGCCGTATAGTTGTTGGTTAGTATATTTGTCTGTAGTTCTCGCTATCTCTCTATCTCGCTCTCTACCTCCGTCTCTCTCTCCCAATTTTCGTGTTTGCATGTGAGTGTTTGATCGCGCGGCCGGGTTGCCGAGATGGGCCACAGTCGTGGGCACTCTTTTGCTCTGCATTTTCTCTCTCTCTCTCTCTCTCTCTCTCTCTCTCTCGCTTCTGAAACACGGGTCCACCCACCTAACACGGTACACAAATAAGAGGCGCTGCCCCCCTTTCAACGGCTTGCCTTTGCTCTTGGCCGCCGCACGTTTTTTTTGCGTCGGTTTAAAGGGAGAGTGCCTCCAAAAAAAATCTTTTTCTAATGTATAATTTCGGGTATTAACTATTTTAACCACTTCATTAAAATCAACAGGTTTCCTTTCAAATCGAGCGCTAGCAGAGATTCTTTGGGAATTTTAGTGTTTTTTTTACAGCCGGTGAAGCCGAAACGGAAAGATATCTCGAAGCCTAAGCCTAAACCTAAGCCAAGCCTAAGCCTAAGCCAAAGCCTAAGCCAAATCATATACCTATGTCTACGTCTAAGAATCGAAATCTGCTTTTCAGCGACTCTTACAGAGTTCCAATGGTTATTTCCGGATTTTACTTGCGTTTTTTTTTCAGCGCAACTGCTTCCCATAATTCCCCTTTTTTAATAGCTACGGCGGAGCCATTTAATTTGTCTCCCCTTCAGTCCAATTAGTGGTCCCGCCGCGAAAGCCCCCAGATTCCGGAGGGGGGCGTCAAAACGGCGCCAAACGTAGCCCTACCCCCCCCGACACGAAATAATTGCAGGAACCGGCCCCTTTAAAGCCCCCTGGCTTTAAAGGTGGTCTATTCGCGTTCGGGCCAATTTCAGGTCCCAAAGTCGGGGTATGCAAATTTCAGCGGCTTTCGATTAGCCATTTTGTGTTATGTAAGTTATATTTATTTTTGAAGTAAAATGACAAAACTGGGAAACTAAGGTAATCAATTTTATGCAAATTTGGTAATATTGAAACCTGGTTTGGTTCCATTAAATTTTATTTTTATGCTTCAATTAGCATAGATTTGCATTTTTTCTGGCTATTTTTAG